TTTAATTTTTTTTTTGTAATAATTCGTCTTATGAAAAGAGTATGTCATTGAGTGAAGACCACGGCAATTCGGCCAAATTAAATGGATTAAGTGGGTTGTTGTTGCTTATGTTGGTATCCATAGGTCGTAATTGTTATACGAGCAACTTCTAGGGACAGCACGAAAGTCACACTATGTAATAGAACCACTTGCAGCATTATAAATAGTTTAAGGCATGTTAAACCAATGTTAGATATTCCGAGAGTGTATTACACAAATTACGCTAAAGTTTGAAGTATGTAAACAAACTCAAATATGAAAACACACTTGCGCCCAATTATTAGCTTCGTATTTGTGTCAGCGTCACGCCACAAAATAAACATTTTCAGCATACATTTCTTTGATAAGTGAGCCGAGAGCTCTCAGTCATCTTACGAAAACTGATTTTCTATGAGTAAAAGTGTCATATTCAGGCCCTTTCGAATCTGTCAGCGGAAAGCCGTTGAAAACATTTCTAATATCTGTTTAAGATGTTCGTTTTCTTAAAGCGCTTTTTTATCCTATGCTATCTAGCTTTACACCGAAGGGTACCGTTTGATGTAAATATACAGTGTTTTCTATATTGAAGCATATTATTTTAAGTTTTTAAAAAGTTTATATATATTTAAACGAATACCGTAGATTTACAAAAAGTGTCGCAAAAAGTGTTAAGCACGGCAAAGCTCTTTACATCGGCACTGGACGTTGTATTTACATAACTTGAAAGCGCTGCTTTCGCTGAAATTGAAAGAAATTGGGGCGTCATATTATCTATGTGTGAGAAAATAAACCGCCTATTGTCTTTGCCGGCCATTGTTGTTTGGAATGGAAGCCTCTCGGCTGAAGAATTTTTATATTGCAGTACTTCATATTAAGCAAATCATTATTAAAATGTAATTAAATTTTGCATTATTCTCGTTTAAATTAAAAAGTTTGCAATATGCCAGACATAGTTTAAAAATTATCAATTATCAACTAATAAGCATTTTTTTATGGTTTTGGTAAAACAATCACTGCTAAACGGGCCGTTGGAATGCATACAATTCATATATATTGTCTGACATATTAAACTAAAACCCCAAACAAAACATGTCTTTACAAAATAAACAGATTCTAGAGATGTACAAAAGTTCGCCCATCGGAAGGTTTATTGTACAAAATTGTAATGGTTTATATTTTTGTTCCAGGCATAATTACGACACGATGATAACCGAAGGTTAGTAATGCTCGTAATGACGTCTGTACTTAATAAATGCATGAACAATACTTCTTTTTTACTTGCGATGAGAGCTTTTCAGAGTAATTACAAATGCAATGCAAAGTTAGCTCTAAGCGGCAAAGCGTATGTGAACATAAGACTCAGTATAATCACATTGTTTTTAAAACGCAATTTCTTTAACGCACTTGCTATACCGTTTTATCATATACAATTAAATTAAACTTATCTATACGCACTTTGTTTTTACTAACAATTTTATGTTTTTCAAATGCACATCGCACGACAGAACACTTATTTATATTCAGTTGTTAGTATTGAATAAATATTTGTTCTTGTAATATAAGATTTTCTTTTCTCTTAAATAACAAGAATTAAGTGCACAATGGCTACGGCGTAACACTGCGAAGTCTACGCCGTAGGCACTTCTACTCGCTACTGCATGATAAATTCGCGTTTCGATCTGGTAATGATTTTAGATTTATAGTTATTATATCCTTCCTCTATGATATTTTAGATTATTTTATTATCAGAACCTTATTTGAAAATGGAAATGTTAACAAAATCAATTAATAAATTTTACCAGCAAAATTGAAATTACGTAACTAGAAATATACGAAGAAGCAACATTTATAAAAAACAAGTCGTAAAACGACTCCAAAAGTAACAAAATTTATATTTAAAAGTTTTGTAACTAAATAATTACAATGTAGCTGGTATAAAAAGTTTTACAAAAATTTGTGGATTTTCGTAATTTACTGCGGCGTTACCCTTTTATGTTTAAGTTCCTTAGAAGGCTTCTCTTGTTCGAACTTTATGACAGCTTTCACTGACCCCCTCAAATTGTATTTACATCGTTAAAAGAGTTTTTCCATAGACGTACAATGGGGCCTGAGTTGTTTAAATTGTTTTTCAATGTTCGTATTATAATAATTTCCTTTTTCGTAGTTATAATAGCTAGTTAGTAGTTATATAATAGCTTAGGTAGTAATATACATACATGTTGCATTATGTAGTAAGTAGCATTTTGTATATTTGTAATGGATAATGAATAGATCATATCGTATCAACTGCCTTATTTTAACGTATATTTGTATGACCTGCGACTAAGTCGCAAACCAAGGATTTTTTTTCATATAAAATAATATCCGTTTAAAGATATATTAAATTGTCATTATCTTCACTGATAAGTTTATCAAGATCAGGGTTCGTGTAACCTAAGAATTGTCACGTTGTTAGCTGATCGATAACTATTGTGTTTCAACGACAATAGCGTTTGGAAGTTATACTATTTGACCTTTAATGAATATACTGCGGCTTATTACCTATTTATACCCTACGTCAGTCGAATCCATTATAATGGTGTCAAGATTGCGACGTATTTGTGAGGTTACCTTGTACATTAGTATTACTTGTAAGTCCGTATATTTATTTAGAAGTGGTCACAGTAGCTACAAACTTATGTTAATTATAAAATTTTGTCAAGTGACGACATTATTCTTAATGCGTTAATCCAACTACTTTCGTTCATTTTACATGAGACGGATCAAGTATTTTAATGCAAATTACCAAACAATTTAAAAGTCTAGTTTTGAGACACGCCCACACTTTTTTAGTCAGGTAGCAATAATGCGTAGGATGTGTCGTAACGTTAAGTATGTAGCCAAGAACAGAGTTGCAAACTTGTAGGAAATTACTATTGCTGCAGGACAGACATTACAATAGGAGCTTTTTCCAAGTGTGTGATGACGCATGTCTCGCATTTCCTCATGGATATAACTTTTCACCGGATGTACATGAAGCACTCACGTGCCGGATATAATTAAAACTCCATTTGCAAAATAACTCGCCTTCCCGTTCCATATGAAATAGTTTTATATATCAGATGGTATATTAAACATTCCGACCACTGGAGTGAAAAATGCTTGCTCAGCATTTCGTATCTCCGACTTTTTAAATTATACCGGCATATTGTTTTATAATTTAGAGTTCCAGGCTTTCGTAAGCTTTATAGAAGTTTAGCTTTGTTGCATTTGTATAATTTAATTATTTACGAACGTATTCATTTTATAGCAAGTTTTTGATCAAATGTTTTTTGACTCGTATATTATAGTTTTACTATTTGTTTATGTAATTATATCTACGTGATTCTAAATTTTTATTAGAAACACGTAATTGGGTCTTGACAGCTTTGACACTGGACAGTCAATTAAATATTCTCATTGAATATTCTACCTTGTACTTATTCAGTTAAGGCCGATTCTCAAAGGAACGTCCTGAGCTTACAAGGATTGATGCTAAAATAACGTTACTTCAAAGAATAGTCATTGAATAAGATTCTTATTAGAATTGTAATTAATACCGTGCCCTGGTTTAGATGAGAAAGTCTATCAGCTTGTATATTTTATTAATTTAAATCAATTCCGGACCCTAAAGTATTAGCTTTTATATTAATAGCCTGGTACAATGATAACGAAATAATACTTGATAGATTTTCACGTATTAGTTTTCACGAGCCAAGTGACCAGGTGCAAAATAATCTACAATGGAATTTACTTGATTTTAGAATGCCCATTTTCGTAATTTCATTAATGCATGAATCATTATCGGTCATTGTTTTCATTTATATTATATTTTACTAAGTATTTAAGTTGCCAATAGCCTCTGCGGTAAAGAACTAGGTGTACTAAAGCTGTAAGATAGTTGAGGGTTATGTAACATTATTCAAGTTATATGTATAATCGTAAATCGAACTGTATGCGTATATCGTAAATAGCCTTAACGTGAGACGTTTATAGATAACGTAAAAGAGCTACTCTGGCTGGGTGCAATGTTCGTCTGTAAGAGTACATTAAATAAACATAACATGAAGCAGAATAGAAATGCGGCAGGCAATAAAAATGTTTGCTTAAACTCACCCTAGACACAGAACGTTGTATTGACGTGTCAATGTGTGGCCACACGGATAGCGGTATTGGAGTAACGAAACTAAATGAGACACAAAATAAACCCGGTTGGATTTATCGAAAGTTCTATTTATGGCAGTGCTCTGTTATCATTAAGCCTGTTAAATACGTCGCACTATAAGAAAACCCTCGCCGTTCATGACATTTTACTCTTTGGTTAAACTTAGTAGTTTATATTTGGTGTTATCGTTGCTTAACAAATTATTAGAAACTCCTTTTTTTTAATAATTAATAGTCATTGATGTTTGTCTACTCAAAACTATTAATATTCTTTACATTGACGTATCAACAACGAACTTAAAAGAGCTACCTCATGGCCGCAATGTTAATGCTGTATCGATCTAGTAGTTTGGCAGCGACCGGTCGGTGCCATGCCGGTCGTGTCGTCGTTTCTGCTGACTAATGAAAGCTTCCTAACATATTCCGCTCACAGAGAATTTTACATGAGCGCCGTCTCACAATAATCGTTTAGTATTAATATACATTCTTTTTATCCACATAAAGCGCGACGGAAATAAATTGTCTATCTATTTCCGTTGCATTATTTATAAGTTGTGATTTTTCGATTTATCTCAAGCTCCAAATATCTAGCACAACTATATCCCAAATTCATATTGATTATATTTTTTTATTACAAATGGTCGCTTGTTTTGATAATCTTTTATATAATAGAAATAAATACGAAATTCGTTCGCTAAATATGAATTATACTCATTATTTACATGAGAATATAGTTAAAATGACGTAACTAAGGTAGTGGCGATTGCCGGCAGAGGCGGTGGCGTGAGGGTGTTGGGGCCATGAGCGCTGGCGCGACTCGGCCCGCCGCCGGCGACTCCACGCCCGGCTCCGACGGCGACCGTATCACCAGCCTGTTCCCCAAGTGCAGGCCGCGCGCCATGCATCACCATCACGACAGGTTAGGATAGCAACCCATAGTGAAGAATATAACAAAGTAAATAATACTTTATTTGAGGCTTGGAATAAATATTTTCCAATTATTCGAATCATAAAGTATTAGCACCAGTTACTAATGATTAAGCATTAAGAGGAAGAACGATGAATTTATTATTAAAATCTGCATTGCATTAGAATATGTATACATAAATCATAATTTTATATCTCTTCATAATATTTACAAGCATTTAGGGACGTAAAAACATTTGTGCTAACCCACGCATACAAAATCGCCATTTGATACGTAAACTACACGAATATGAATTTTCAACTAGACAGTCTTGTGGTATACGACGATGGTACGATATGACCACGACATATTTTGTTGAAATCGTAACTTTAACATTTATTTTATTAGAAAATAATTATATATTTCTACATTTGACGAAAGATAATGGTATTACGCCTTATGTTTATAATAATATTTTAGAATATTTATATGAGAATTAGGTCTTAATATTGATTAGTAATAAATGCTCATACAAATGTACGTTGAAGGCATTAAAACTACTAAACGCAAATATAATTCTAAGTTAAAATTAACGCGTATCACGATAAGCATAGCTGATGGAAGGCTTGCGGTGAGGTAAGGAGACGCAACTAGGTCATTACGTGGCAGAAGCCGGGCTGACACGCGAAACGGCGATTAAACTGATTACAGAAACAGTTATAAGGAACCTATTGGGTGCAATGTACTCTTGTTAACTTATGGGCCCTTTGTATTTGTTTTTGATAAGAATTCTACTAGAACCAGTGGGGATCTATGATGTTGACAAATTAAATTAGTTTTATTTCAAATGTACAAATACATAGGTGCTAAATATTCAGAATAAATTTGCTTTAGGATTTCCCATAAACGAATTTATTGTATGTCTAAGTTAATACTAAAATCCCTAAATGATTACAGATTGAATACTGCCATAGAGGGCAGGGAAATGAACAATATGAACAACATGTCCTCGGACGAGGAGCGGGAGAATGACGCTCAGGTTATACTCAATTCTAAAGGACCCTATAAGCTAAGAGATTCTAGGTAAATATATAAATTCAATATTTTTTTTTATAAGCAAGTACACGGTGTTTTGTGCTCTATTGAATTTTTATAATAGTGAATAGAAACAAACAAAAAAATTTGAAGTGAAACTTCTTTAGGAGCATGAAAGTAAATTTTTACGAAAACGTCACGAAGATGTGCAGCGTTTTTATCGAAGAAAAGGGACAGAGCTATTGAGACCGATTGAGAGAGAGAGTGAGAAGGGCGAATTACCTTATAGAAATTCTATTTTTGAAATTAATATTTCGTTTACGAATAATTCACTTTAGAGAATAAATTCTCTTTAGAGAATTTATGAAATATTAGTATTTTATATTTTTGGCAATATAATTTATTGAAATCTAAATAAAAAATGCCACGAGTTTTTACTATCGAAGAAATAAATCTAGAAAAATTAAATTTATAATTTGTATTAAAACTTAAATGACAATTATATTCATAAAATTCCTAACTTATCTTCCCTCTAAGTCTCGGAAATGTAAAGTTTCAGATTTGTATAAATATGAACAAACAAAAAATTAGTTTGCCAAAGAAGTTTCACTTTTGATTGTTTTGTAAAATGCCATGCCAATAAATATAAAAGTTTGTACGCACGCACTTTTTTAAAAGTCATATACTCTCGTTATTCTATTCAATAAATATTTATTGGCATGGCATTTTACAAAACTAGTGAAAAACTGATTTCACTGCTTAAGTTTTATTCAGTATTAATAACTCCCAATAACAATTTAAAATATGTTATGGAGCTGACTGACTGAACAAACATATCATCATTAATTATTCTAACATTTAAATTGCAGGATAATAGAAATCGCTGGAGGGAGGGAGCTGTACTCGCAAAGTAGAACAAAAGCTGTGCGGAAGTTACGTCACAACAACACGCACAAGCACAACCTGCGGAACAAAATACGATCAATTAGCAAAGATGGGGTCGACTATGGCGCGGATAATATCACTAACGAGGTATTTATACTCATTAATCGAGACTTATAATAAGCATGTTAAAAATCACCCTAAAGTATTCTATGACCTTGTACTTCAAAGTATGGGTCGTTATTTGTTTCATTTATAAGCTTTGGTTTGTATCAAACGCCTACATATTTTTCTATTGAAGTTATACTTCTTTAGGCGCGTTATGAAAAATTGATGAGAGTGAAATTTTACGATGCGCGCGCACCGTGACACAAAATTAACAGGATGAAGTCGCCCACGGAAGATGCTACGGCATTGGTCATAATTTAAAAACAACATTCGAATAATAATAGAATACTTAATAATTATTTACACTTAAAATTTATTTATTTAATTTTTCAAATGTAAACTGAACTTTATTGACTATAATGACTCCTTTTCCAGTCTTTGATTATTTAATTGTAATTAATTATTTGCATGCAATCAAAAACTATTTTTAATAATGCCAAAGAAGTATAACTTCTTACGCGCGTACATAAGTACACGCACCCTTTTTCTAAAATATCAAATTGTTGAATAAATGAAATAAATATGAAAAACAAGATTCTAATATATAATTATTGTGATTTTCAGATATCTTTGCATAGGATAAACAGTGAACCGAAGAAGATGATTTCGAGGCATACGTCGCCGACGTACACAAATGGCGATAGGGATATTCTAGAACAAACTATGGGTATACCCAAGAACAGCTCCCCAATCCTGGATCCCCACAAGATTGCTGATGTCAGCGCTAAGAGCAGCCCCATCGCGGTGGTGGCCGATGGACAGGTTGTGGTTTTCGACGACAATGACGATTGGAAAGGTATATCAAAAACGTTTTAACATTCAATTTTTTCGTTTATAAGTTATTTATTCCTACACTCAAAATGCTTGCGTCGCCTATCATTAAACAAGGTTATTTTTTGAAGTGAAACTTCTTTATGTGGGTTGGGGAAAAATTTAGTGTAACATTTTTCGTTAGAATTTCGGTAGGCATTGAGTAAACCAGGGGAATAAATTCTAAATAGAAATTGTACAAATTAGTTTTTCAAGGATAGTAATAATTTATAACAATAATGAAATTTAAATAATTGTAGAATAAGGTAAAATAAAATTTGTATATATGATAAAAAAGCTTAAACTTATTAATTTAAGAATAAAGTATAAAAGCTAGAGCATATAGTAGATATTTTCGAAAAATAAATATAAAGAAGCACTTTTACACTAGTACAGACATTATTATTTTGTTTGACGCTTTTGTACGAAGCTTTCACAGCCTTTTTTTAACGATATTAATTTGAATGAATCATTATTACTTTTTTGACTATATTACAAAGTGAACTCTTTTATTTTCAGTTATATTGAATTCTGTGTCTCTAGGTTTGAGGATGGACCCGGACGTAAGTGATGACGAAATCGACGTGAGTGTTAAGAGGACTTTAGACAATTTGAAAAATGGTGATAGTGAGGTGAATAAGAGTGACAGTGAAAGTGAGTCGAGCTCACGGGGCGTGAGACTGAGCGAGGGGAGTCCCACGGGGGTCTGGCTGTCGGACGACGACAAGACCAGGGTCACCAGGGTCATCGGGGAGCTGCCCATAGCCGAGTACGAGGGCTCGCCGCGCAGATACGGCATAGGGCAGTCTACGCAGAAGACTCAACTTAGATCGCCCAGACCAGGATTTCCTCAGGTATTTTCAAGACCTTTGATTTCCATAAGGGAGCGTTCAAGAAATACGTCACACAATTTATGGAGATTATTAACTCCACCCTCCCCATGTAACGCGCCGTAACGTTTTTCTGTACCCAAGTATAGTAAAACGTTTCGTAACCACCTAGTGACTCTTTATACCGAAAAGTTACCATTATGTGGTGTAAAGTACTGGAAATCCGAAAATAATATTAACAATAACCTCCCCCCGCCCAGATTCGTTACGTTATACAAAAGGGACCCCCCAATCCCTCCCTAAGACGCAGGAATAGAAGACGGTTTTAGAAGCAATACTTAATTGGTAACGATTTTTTAATTTTTAAATTTGTTTAATTTCAGCGAATAATAACCGAGAGCCGAGATGAAACTCCGCCGCCGTCGTCGGCATTCGACTACTTGTACGAGTTTTCGGAGACCAGGAAAGTCCTCGAAGAGTTCTTCAAGTGTCCACAACAACAAAACTCCAACGATGAAATCGTCAACTTTCAAGTGAGCCTCGTCTATTGTTTTCTTATTAGTTTACAATTAACTAAGTCCAAAGAGTGTGGGGCAATTCTTCGCAGAGCTGTTACTTTATGCTTAAAATACTTTCCAGAATTTGATATTTTTGTTAGTTCAATATACGAAAAAAAAGGGAAGTTTAAAAAAAAAAAAAAAAAAAAAAAAAGGAAAAAAAAAAAGGGGGAAGGAAAGGAGAGGGAAGGGAAAAGGAAAGGGGGGGGGGGGGGGGGGGGGGGGGGGGGGGGGGGGGGGGGGCCGGCGGGGGGGGGGAAACGCGGGAGAGGGGGAGAAAAGGGCAAGGGGGGGGGGGGAAAAGGGGGGGGGCGGGGGGCGCGTAAAGGGAAAGGAAGCCTGAGGGAACAAAAGGGGCCGCCTTGGTCGATACATTTGTTTATAATGCCTAGATTTTTAAATGTCATAATCTGTGTTGTAAAGAAGAAAACATTAATAACTCATCGACACCAAAGCTCTGGCAATCGTAAACTATGTAAGAAAGCATGTTGTGAATGAAGAAAAAACATATATTCTGTTGATATTCCAGGACTTGGACTACGAGCTCCGTCGCCAGACGCACGAATGTCCCTCGGAGAACGGGATAGAGGAGAGCGAGGGGGACTGGGGGCTGGCCGACACGCTCCATTCGCCCCACGCGGCGCACAACCACACCAACTTCCTCGGCCTGCAGGTGCACGTTCGTTCATTTATTTCATTATCATTAGTGAAGTACACGTACTATTTAGTCCATTCGTTTTCCAGCAACAACACGGTCGCTACGGCGCCCCGGACGTGTCCGCGCTAAGGGCGGGTCAGGGCGAGCCGGACACGGCCGACAGCGTGTGCGCTTCCCCTGCGTTGCCCGCGCACGCTCTGGCTCTTTCGTCCGCGAGTGACACGCCTAGTGACCTCTCGCTCGCACTTATGGAGAACGAGCTCTCTGAGATGAAAAGTGAGACGTTTCTTCTATATGAGAGTAATAAATCTCTTACTAAATGTCTTAACTTATTTATTTTAAAATTTAGTCTCACTCGTTCTATTATAAAAAAAAACTCCACAAAATAGATAAATAATCAATTTCATTTGCCTCTTCACAATATTCCACTTTTCTGGTGATTAGGATGTATATATGTATATATATAACAAAAAAAAAAAAAGGGAAAGGGGTATCTATAACAAAAATGCTGTGGTAACAGCCATAAATACTATTAAACTGTTTTTCTTATATATGTTTCTGATCTGTCTCAAGAAGTTTATGTTTAATTATGATCAATTATATGAGAACAATATACAATTATTTCACAGTCGAGACTATAATTTGCATTAATTTAATCTTTGAAGTAACTAAAGTAGTTATTATTACTAAATCAAGTTGGATTAAAGAGCGAATTGAACAGTAACGTGTTTGTTTCCAGTACAAATGGAGTTGAACCGAGTGGTGGGAGCCCACATGCCCGTGGTGGAGGACGGACTCTCCTCCGGACACGTCTCCGACACTGACAATAATAATCAGATTATTTCGTTGCCGGTAAGTAATCTCAGCGGATATGGGAAGAAATATAACGAAATTCAGTTCAAATCCGATATCATATACAGTAAAAAGATTTTTTTAATTATTTAAATAGAAACAGTTTAAATCAAAATTAAGATTATTATTTAAAAGATAAGTAAGGAAATCTCTTTTCGTCTCAGCGTAGAAACACTTAAAAGTATGTATTTCGTGAGGAATGATTAATTATATGTTGACAATTTCATAGACTCATTCGCCGATGAAAATAGAAGAAATAGTCGATAGTGGAACTAACACGGATCCTCATCTCCTCTCCGACGCGGATCTTCATTCTCTCGACCCGTTAGGTAAGACTAAAATGTTCAACGAAGTAGGAGTGCAAGTAGTTATTGTATTGCCACGTCACAAGAGTTATCAAACTCGAAATTAAAAGTTAATAAAGTCAAGTAAAGAGAATAAAAAAGTCGTCTCTTGCGCAGCCGTGCCTCCCCCCGCGCCGGCCCCTCACCGGCCTCTGGACCATTCGCCGCATCACCACCACGGACACCACGACGACGTCTATCCCAGGTCTATATTTATCTTGTTTCATAGAGCTTCTTCATCATTTGATGGCAGGTGAAAGAACCTGTTACAGAGGTTCGTTCACCAGCACAATCAGTCAACCTCCTTCCTAGTGGGAGTGCCATGCTGTTGCTTTAGGGCTTCAGCCAAATGGGCAGGCACGACCGGGGCAGTACCACTGTCTCACAGAAAACCTGAAGTGATTCAGTTACCTAATCATACTCGCGTTTCTTGCAAGTCAAGTCAAAAATCTAATTTTTAAGTCTTGTGCATATTTATATTTAATCTAATTTATACAATCTAAAACTAACATGTAAACAATCGCTCTCTCCTTTTTCTTCGATAAAAACGCTGCACATCTTCGTGACGCTAATATTATTATTATTGCGTTTCATCCATTAACATTTTTCCCTCATGCGGCTAAAAAAGTTTCACTTTAAAAAGTAGTAAAATACTATTTAGTATGTCAGTAGTGTGGACACCACTAGGCATTGTCTATTATTTTTATTTCCGCCCAGCACTGCTGTCGGGACTCGCCTGAGGCAAACCTAACATGGCGAAGTGGGATTCGAAGCACGCCCTCGTGGAGTACAGATGTAAAAAAAATCAGTGGCGCTACAACCTCTTTAGGTCTTGGCCTCAGATTTCTGAATCTGTTCCATGATCATTTTTAAATCTAAAAGGCAAGTAGGTGATCAGCCTCCAGTTCCTGACACACGCCGTCGACTTCTTTTGGGTCTAAGACATGTCGGTTTCCTCACGATGTTTTCCTTCACCGTTCAGGCAAATGTTAGAAAGAAAGTTACATTGGTGCATTGCCGGGGATCGAACTTACGACCTCAAGTATGAGAGTCGCACGCTGAAGCCACTACGCCAACACTGCTCTTGAGTACAGATGTAGTTGATCGAATAAGTAACTGAATTCTAAATCATTTTGTGAATTGATTCCATGACTACGCTTTCAGAAAGCGACCGACGTCGGCGCAGAGCAATGATTCGGTGGAGATTAAGGCTGTCAGTGGAGACGAAGGTTCGTTGGTTCTAAATGAAATACGACTTCTTATTATTTTTATTTATTTAAAACTATGAATGTTAATAGATGAAGCGGACACGGATCTCGAAACGGACAGGCTGCTGGGTCAGCAGAGGACGGATGACCAGGGATTTTTTGACGACAAAGTGAGTCCTAATTTATAATAAGAGATTATAGTCCGGGATCCATCGCTCATTTTTGCACTTAATTACTATCAAGCTAATTTTCCGTGAGTAGCTTTATTTTGATGAGACGCCCAATAATTTCCTGTACGAAACTCTCGATTGTGGTAGCTAACAGAAGTAGCAAGGATAAAATATGTTGATTTGATGATTCTCAAATAAATAAATTATTCGAAAAAATATTTGTCCTACAAAATCTAGGGTTTGATCAAAGAGTCCCCTCTTTCCAACATGTATCGATAACGAGGTCATCATAAATGATTACTAACCAGCTGATTTTTTTTTTACTTAGTTAATATTCATGTAATTTAACAGACATATTGTCCTACAAATTGCGCGGTACGTTATCCCGGTCCTACGCTCAGAAATTGTTAATACCACCAGACCATTTTTCTCATTACTAACTGTAGGACAAAAATATTATATAATAGGTTAGTGTGTTCTCTGCCCAAATGAAACAACATCCTACAAAAAAACAGGTATGTATCACTAGTCCGACAAGAATTGTAATTTTTTCGTTTTCCTATTTGTAAATAAAGATACAGTGAAAAAACCTTTTTTTAAAATTACAATAACTTTATTTTTTAGTAATCTAGGTACAAAAATTTGTGTATTCATATATAAAGAAGTTAATCTTCATCAGATTCATCTGATAAATCTTCGCTACTAACATTGCTATCATCTTCATTTGTTTCACTTTCTTCACTCGTGATATCTGACTCTGTAATAACATGAAAAAATTAAGTAAATTATATAATAATGAATAATCAATCAATACATAAAAATAGAATTAATAGGTTACCTAGTAAGTCAGAAGATAATTCTTCAAATGATGGACTTTTGGGACCATCAAACAAATAATATTCATATTTACCATCAATCCATCCAAAATTTTCTGGCAATTTTTCCGTGGGGCACCGCATGTGTGCATTACACCATACATTGCTAATAAATACAGTGTCTACATAAATATCACATAATATCATCGATATTGAAAAAATTATCCCATATTAAGTTAATATTTAGTCAAATAGTCATACAAAAACATAAATTTAAATGACAAAAAATTTAAAAAGAAAATATTTAAAATATAATATACTATCAAAAATTATTGTTTAAAGAATGTAACAATAATACAATGCTACAACATACACACACATATACACACGATGGCATTTTGTGACACTAAACTGTTAGCAAACGTCCTTTACAACACACTTACGACATATTTTATCATTGCTACCTCTGTTAGCTACCATAATTGAGAATTTTCGCATAGGAAATTGTTGGGCGACTCATCGAAACGAAGCTATTCACGAAGATTCAGCTTGATAGTAATTATTTTTACATCAAGGATCTGTACTACTACTTTTGAGCGTAGGACCAGGATAACGTACCGCGCAATTTGTAGGACAATATGTCTGTTAAATTTCATAAATATTAAGTAAGTAAAAAAAAAAATATCAGCTGGTTAGTAATCATTTATGATGACCTCGTTATCGATACATGTCGGAAAGAGGGGACTCTTTGATCAAACCCTAGATTTTGTAGGACAAATATTTTTTCGAATAATTTATTTATTTGAGAATCATCCAATCAACATATTTTATCCTTGCTACTTCTGTTAGCTACCACAATCGAGAGTTTCGTACAGGAAATCGGGCGTCTCATCAAAATAAAGCTACTCACGGAAAATTAGCTTGATAGTAATCAAGTGCAAAAATGGGCGATGGATCCCGGACTATTACAGTATTATAATAAACATTTTTCCCATTTTTGTCTTCGTAGGTAGAAAACAGGTCACATTTACTAGACAGGGTTTTAAAGAATACGTATAAAACAGTTGATAGGTATACTCAGGGTCGCTGGTTTTTGTATTAATAAAAAAAGTTGTCCAACTTTATACATTATTTTACCCTCGAAAGTCGAAAATGTCGGAAGAATATTAAAAATAGAGCAGCTCGCTGAACTACGTCAATTGATTTCATATGTTTTTAAACTGTAATTGCAAGAGTATAATATGGTAATACATTTAACATAAAAACAAAATCACTTACGACTACGTGATGAACGTCTACCTAATACATTGTTACCAAAAGCGATCTCGATCCAAATAATACATTTTTGGGCTCTGATCTTTCAAAACTATGTACAAATAAATCGTATGATGTATAAATTAAACATTTGAAGTTGAAGGTCATTTTGATTAAGCACGCTCAGTGCACGTACAGATAAAACAAATAATTAAAAAAAAATTTAACAAACGATATTTTTTTATTGATTCGTAGGATGTCCCATGCCCCGTTGGGGGTAAGGGAATTTACACCAGTGCATCAGGCAGTTTGATTATTTAAATTTAGCACGGTGATTCATTGAATGAAGTAATATTCACATACGTCCTACTCCAATAAACGCTCTGAGTCGGTCTGACCTTGCCCTCTTATTGTGCCGGCCAAAGACTATTAATATTATGGTATTTTATTTGATGCCTCACAGTTTGGTGACTCTAAGAGTTATGTTGTTTATCATTACAGAGCGCATTATGTTACTTATAAAATTAAAAACAAAGTTTATTTAGTAAAATATGACATATTATAAGAACGACAAACTAATTGATAAAAAAAGTTGAAATGCTTTGAAATTTAACAAACTAAAAATAAAATAAACCATTAAAAAATTGAATTATGTATTATCGAGTAGAATCTGTGGCAATTGGCATGACTACGAGTAATTAGTATTTACTCAGATGTAACATGTTAACTATAGCGCATATATATTTGAATTATTAAAGACGTCAATGAACATTAGTGCTATATGTATCAAATTATTCTTCAAACAATATCGTATATATGTATTATCTTTGTGTAAACAGTAAACATCTGTATCGCAGTCAGTGCCGACCGCTCGTATTATCATAACGTGTTCATTTACGTTTACGAATAGTTATCGCGCGAGAAAATACCATATGTCGCGATCCTTATTTAAATATGATTGAAAGTGACAACTAAATTTTGATTGAAGTTCAAAAACAAAATTTTTCGGCTAAAATATGTCTCTTTAGTATATTTTACTATTAAAAACGATCTATTGGCATTATTCTAATATATTGTTTGATGAGCCAAAGTGTACCTGCGTAGTCAAAATGAGCGATATCGTTCCTGAATGTGATTTTAATATTGGCAGCGAAAAGTCGCCAATTTCCGATTATGAAACGAAAATAAGTGATAGCGATAATGCGGATTTTGGTGTTAAAAACGTTGATAACAATTCTAATATGAGTTTAACTCTTGATAAAAATGCAGATATAAATATAACTAAAGAAATAGACAGTGTTGACGAAATTAGTGTTGGTGTGGAAGAACTAAGTTTGAATAAAGACAGCGATGTTTATAGTGATTCTAGTTTAAAAAGTGATAATTCGGATAGAAAGAAAAAGGTACCTGATTTAATAGATAAATCTATTTGGCATTAATTATAGTAATTAAGATAATTAAGTAATTAAACATGAATAAGCAGTAGGATTTGTTTTACAGGTACAATGGTGGGGTACAAGTTTAAACATTGCGAAAATCTAGTTATATTTATGGATCTGTCTTAATAAATAAAATTTGTGAATAGAACATTTCTAAGTTGTGGGTGTTCGGACTCTTCCGAGGTACAATAAAAGAATAAACATTTATTTCGACAAGGTCTCCGTAGACGGTTTCACCATAAACCACCACAAGCAATAATTATCCTGTAGTATAATCGAGTTCAAATTAATAAATATATTTTCTTATTATAAGATCTGTTTAAGTCATAAACAGTGTACGAACTGCTAAGGAATAATAACTACTTTTTTCAAAGCCATAATATTGTTACCACCAGTTAACAATCATCTAAAAGTATCACACATTATTTAACTCCCAACATAAGGTACATTAAGTTTTGTAATGGAGTATTATATTTTTCAGGGTTGGCGCAAACCCAAGTCCAGAACAGTGATGCCCGTCGTCGGCTCCGCGGCGACGAACAGAGAAACTCATGCGCACGACACCACTGATCACAGGGACGACGAGGCACTTCATAATGGAAAGGTAAATAAAGTTTTGGGTTATTATTATTAACAGACATTTCTGAAAGTTTTTCTAGTAAGTTTACAATATCAGTGTTTATGGTTTCCTCAAAACATGACGAAACTTATTGGAGTGTAAGACATAATCTTCGAGACTCGCATGTTAAGTATTACGTCACGCAATTTTTGGAGATTATTAAACGTTTCGCGACCACCTCGTGACTCTTTATATCTAAAAGTTACCATTATGTGGTGTAAAGTACTGGAAAGTCGAAAATAATATTAACAATAACGCCTGAATTAATCCCCGCCCCGTATCGTAACAAAAGGACCCCCCCAAATTTCGTTACGTAATACTTGAACTCTCCCTAACTTCAAAATGTACTTTTATTGTATTTCCCTATTTTCTAACATTTATTGTTGCACGTTCTACAGAACGAACGAAACATCGCATTTATTCATTGGTTATGAATAAAAACAAAACGAAATTTGGTATTGTACGATTGTAAGAACAATTTTTTTTTTTCAGGATAAAGACGCGAAGAAGAAAAGCAAAAACAAAGAAGGTATTTTTTTTTATTTATATTTTCACAATTATGAAACTATAACTTGTATTAATTCGTACTTTGTTTCACGCGTCCCTGGTTTGTTATGGTGAGTTATATTTTTATCACTTAACATTAACCAGGTTTAGTAATTTTTTGAAGTGAAACTTCTTTAGGCGCATGAGGGTAATTTTTACGAAAACGTCACGAAGAAGTGCAGCGTTTTTGTCGAAGAAAAGGGAGAGAGCTATTGAGACCGATTGTAAATTAAAATGACACGTCTTTTTATTATTGAAGAAATAAACTAAAAAAAAAATTTGTATTAATTTTCGATACTTTTAACATTTTAATTGACATATAAATTCATTAAATTCCTAACTTTTTTTCCCTCCCTCTAAGTCTCAAAAATCTAAAGTTTTAGATTTGTATAAGTATGAACCAGACTTACAAACAGAATATAAATGAATCATAATGTTATTACAGTTTAACTTCTGACATGTGTACTGAAATTAACAAGCATATATTAATTAGTATTGATTTCAATATAAATGAATCATGTTGTCATCAAATGTTGAATTTCAGATATCGCTTCAGTGCTGATAGAAGGCGTGCTGTTCCGAGCGAGGTATCTCGGCTCCACCCAATTGGCCTGCGAAGGTCAACCCACCAAAGCCACCAGGATGCTGCAGGCCGAGGAAGCCGTTTCGAGGATAAAGGTGATAAATCGCAATCGGTTAACTGCATTATCAGCTCAGTATTGCCCATTTTTACTTTTTTTAATCTTAAGGGAATCTATATAGTCTGTGGATTTTAGGTAAAACCCCTTTTTATACGGTTACTATAAATACATTCGATTTATAATCATCTTATGTCCTTATATGCCCCGTTTAATTTTGAATGGATCACGAAGAAGCAAATCTTCTACACCACACTAACGAACAGAAAAACTCTCAATTCACTGAATGAAAGGATAAATTGATGATTTCGTTCGAGTCTACGCCCCTCAAGAGATCGGCATTCTCATAATTCACGTTCACTCAAAGCCCGTGTGAATCGGTTTTACATTATTCTTTATACCTTGTAGTTAAATAGGCATTTGAGAGCATGAAATTAATCTACCAATGTGTATCTTAAAATGTTTTGAGTTTCCTTTGTATGAAATGTTTATCCTTTATTAGTTATGAATAAAGTAATACTTTTGTATCCGGGAGTAGAAGTATTGTTTTGAATTCAGAATTTTAGTTAAAAAACACGATAAATCAGTTTTTGTTAGAAATTGTTCCGCGCCTGATTTCGTGCTCGTCGGCCTTAGCGTCGAGAACGCTGGCGGTGAACCCTCCGCCGGCGGACTATTTCCGCTCCCGTTGACTCGGCCCTAGAGTATTTTTTCAGCCTTCCTCACCCTCGACCCGACCCGAGAAGACGTCGGACGGCCGGCTAGCCTCCTCCGGATTACTTTCTATCGCTTCTCATTGCTCGCTTTTGGCTTTTGCATCCCCGAGTGCGTTCGGCTTCACCCGTAGCCCTCGGCCTCGGGCGGGGCCGCCTCGCGTAGTTGCATGGAATGTTATCACTAGAGCCGTCCCTCACCTCACCGCACGTAGCTCGACGTGCTCCGATTCACACCGGCTTAGGGGCTGACTCCCCCCGAACACTGTTCACTTTCGACTCCGCTTTCGTCCGACGACGGCTTCTCACGTGTCATCCTCGATGTGTGTCGCGTTGTTTTGCTTGCTTTTGCGCAAAAACCGATCGGCTATCGTCACTCGTTCGGCGTGAGAAATTGGGGCGGCGGGGACAAGCAAAACGACGGGTCGCGTGAAGCGGTCGGGATGAGTGAGGAGGTTAGCCGGTTTTGCAGTGGGGGTGCGAGGGGCCCTACGGCGGGGTGTACGCGGCCCCCGCGGCCGTCTTCAGGCTCGCCTTCCTCGGGTCGGTCGAGGTGGACGAGGACTCGCGGCGCAGGAAGAGGCGCCCCAAGAAGCACATGGTCGAGGAGGCCGTCACCAAGATCAAGGTGGTTTGGTCCGATTCATTACACGTTTGTTACGTTCAATATTAAAAATTTACCGAAAATCGAAGTAAAGTTCAACCGGAGTGGCTTAGCTTGTATCGTTTGCAATGTTCGCGACCGCGCCTCATCCGTAGACTTGACTCGTCGGAGACCCATTCGCTATTAAATAAAATGTTTTAATTTGACCGTTTCATTTCTTCATGCTTTCCTTGGATCGCTACAGGCTTTGGTAAGTCGCGATATTTTATAATACGTACATGACACGACACGCTTGAATCGCTACGATGTCATTTATATTCACACAATTGTACTAAACGGGAGAGTGGGAAATATTACTCAGTTAATAATTCTTCAAAACGAAAGAGAAAGCATAGTTTGAATGACGTCGTTTCGATCGGAAACGACTTTGCAGAGATACCGAACGCAGTATATTTTTGTCTTCAGGCACCGGAGGGTGAAAACCAACCCAGCACCGAAGTCGACCTGTTCATATCGACGGAAAAAATAATGGTCCTAAACACGGAACTGAAGGAAATCATGATGGACCACGCGTTGAGGACCATCTCGTACATTGCCGATATCGGAGACCTCGTGGTGCTGATGGCGAGGAGACGGTTCGTGCCTCACGAGAGTGACTCGGATCAACCAAAGTTGAACCGCACACCCAAGATGATATGCCACGTCTTCGAAAGTGAAGAGGTAAGAGAGTCATATCGTGGCACCGAAATACTAAAGGTTCCACGTTTCCTGTCGTCACTCCGGGTCATCGGTTTGATTAATTCCAGGCTCAATTCATCGCTCAATCGATCGGACAGGCGTTCCAAGTGGCCTACATGGAGTTCCTGAAGGCGAACGGCATCGAAGATCATAGTTTCGTCAAAGAAATGGATTATCAAGAGGTTTTAAACAGTCAAGAGATTTTTGGTGATGAGTTGCAAATGTTCGCCAAAAAGGTATGTACATTTTCTGTCTTCACTTTCCGATGTTTCTGTTACGGTTAGTGACATTTTATTTTTACATAGAATATTCTATAAAATCATATCTATTGACCTATATATATAGTTCGTCCTCAAAGACAGGTGAAAAGAGCTGGCAGTGGGGAGTGGCGAATGTGAATCAACGTGAATGTTTATGATCAGGAGTTACAGAAGGAAGTGGTGGTGCCGAAGAGCAAGGGCGAGATCCTGGGCGTGGTGGTGGTGGAGTCGGGCTGGGGCTCCATGCTGCCCACCGTCGTCATCGCCAACCTGGCGCCGGCCGGGGCGGCCGCCCGCTGCTCGCAGCTCAACATCGGTACGCCGCTACGTCACTTAAACCGATCGTGGAACATTCCAATGTCACACCTGGAAATCCAATTTCAGGCGATCAAATAATCGCGATCAACGGCGTGAGCCTCGTCGGTCTGCCTCTGTCGACCTGTCAGACGTACATAAAGAACTCGAAAAACCAGACCGTGGTGAAATTGACTGTGGTCCCGTGTGCGCCCGTCGTCGAAGTCAAGATTAAGAGACCCGACACCAAATACCAGTTAGGATTCAGCGTGCAAAACGGTGTGGTGAGTGATTGCCCTTAAGTTAAGCCTCGGCACCGGCGACATCTCCAGATTTAACAAAATTATAAACATATTTTTTTTATGAGTATAAATAGATCCATATTTCATCCACTTTATGTATCAAATGATTGTATAATTATTACTATTAGTAACAATATTTTTTTAATTTGGAATAACGCTCCCTGCGTTCTAGTATTACGTTACGCAATTTTTGCAGATTATTGATCCCCCTCCATGTAATGCGCCGTAACGTTTTCTGTACCCAAGTACAGCACTACTAAAAACGTCACGTGACCACCTTGTGACTCTTTATACTTAAAAGTTTCCATTATGTGGTGTAAAGTCCTGGAAAGTCCCGGATAGGATTAACAATAACGCGTAAATTCTTAAAACCCCCCCCGTAACGTTTTTCATTTAAAGACCCCCGCTACCGAAAATTCGTTTGCTTAATCACTTCGACGCTCCTAATACATTAAATCGTATATAAATTTATTCCTGATATTAATCTGTTCTCTCTATTAACAAAAGATCGTTGCAGCGTTCTCCGAGACAATCAAGCCTGAACGTAAAGGCGCGTTCAGCGGGTGGGGCATCTCAAGACATCAATCGAGATGAACTCGCGGAGCAGTGGAGGGCCGTGCCTCACGAACGGATCGTCGAGCGTTTGCGGCGACGTCCGTTGGCGATGTTTTTAAAATTCCAGCTTTCGATGACTGGCGATTAATAAAGATAGATTTCAAATTTGGAAGTTGTTACTCTTTCGTCGATGCCAAAATTATGTAACATTCAACTACGCATTAGACCATAATTTAAAACATTTTGATTTATTAAGGGATGTAATGATGATACTTTTCTTGTCACGATCTGTTCCTTAACTCCAGGTGTTAGAATACGCTACCTAGATAGAAAGACCATTGGTATCGAGCCGGGATCGAACCTACGACCTCGGCGATGAGAATCGACGTAAATTTGCGCACGTTCAACATGCCCCTAATGTTCTTATCGGCTGACTGATATTCTATAGTAGTATTGTTAATCTTGAAAACCTAACTTGCAGATAAATTTACCTAATGAAAACTTGCCGACGTCAATGTTCCAGTCTGCTGAAATGACAATCAGGAGTCTACTTTGTTCATATGAGCTGCCTCTGAACACTCAGTTAGCCTCAAGCTGCCGCTACTGATAGCCCTGACACTCGCTCCCTTGTACACAGCATTCGCACCTCGTAAGGTTAAAATTACTCTGTACTCGCACACTGTCGGACCTTCATCGCTAACTTAATTATAATCTCTAAATATTTGAAAGCCGACAGAAGGTAATAAAGTCGTCGTCTAAATAGTGGTGGCAGTAATAGTGTCATGAAGCTTTTCTCGAGTATTTTGTAATTAGCTAAACACCGACTCCGACAGTACATTCATTGTTAGAGGTAAGACTCGAGTCCTAAATTTAGCTTTATATAATACTCAAAATATTCCGTTACTTTAAAAGCTATACAATGTGATGAGCTATCTTCGGAATCGTTAAATTGCTTAGGTGATACACAAAAGTATTTTGATAAGATTTTCATTTTATTGCTTGGTGTAATTTAGTGCCATTTTATCAAAATAAATATTTAAATGTTAATATACTATTTCCTATTAAATTTGTGATTGTCAAATATCGATTATACTTACTAGATGTTTTTTTATATTCGTTGAAAGGTATGGACTTTTGTATTTTTGAAACATTACTACTGTTTTTGCCTAATTTGTAACAAATTGTTTACATTTATTTATTATTATTACATATCCTTTTTATTTTGTATTCATTCAAGTATATATTAATTCAATTAGTGCAGTATCATAATCTGACTTAGATGTTATCGATATAATAAGTGTCATGGTTTTATTAGGTATTTATTAGTTTTATAACGTCCAGGGGTTGGCGAAATTGTACTATCTTACTGCCCTAACATTTACATTTTAAGTTTCATATGTACAAAGAGGTATTTGACATTCCGAAAATAATATTAAAAAATGGTGTCATTCAAGGCCCACACTAACGTTCTTATAAAGTCTCATTGCCATAAAAAGATTCCTAATATTATCGTTTGATAAATGTATGCATTAACATTCCATTTTAATGTTACAAATCGCTCCTCCGAATCCGGAATCACTGCACCGTAGGCCAAACAAGTTGATGTTTGGGTACCGCATATCAGACTCAACTCGTAGAAGTGTAAAGGTGTATTTTGATACTTGTATCGTCAAAGTTAAGCATCGGATCATCTGTCTGTGGGTAAAGTATCGACACAGTGACTCTCCGGTGATCATTGATAAATAAAGAATTGATTAGCGGATAATATTATAATAAAAATTATTTAACATTAGTGCATTTCAATGTATAATATTTTTAAATTTATTAGTAGGATGGCTATGGTGGTATCTTTTATTATCTATGTGTCTCTGTCATAGCTTAACGCCAGTGTTAATATGTGCAAAGTATAAAAAAATATTTTAAAACATTGGTATCGTGTAGGGATTGAAGCTACATCCTTGGCGTTGAGTAATCCACTTGTTCAAGCCGCATGATCAAACTGCCTAGATTTTGTATTTCCTAACTAATATTATTACATATTAGTAATTATTTAGTTTCCTATTTCTAAAAGTTAATCTTTAATGATTTTGATATCTAAACGCTGCCCTCGTTAATGTTGTAGTGGTTTCGGGACAAGAGGATATGTGTTCATCTGAAAATGTCTCTAGATCGACATTTACGCGCCCACACTTGCTCCCTTCTACGCTATTCCAAATGTATAGATTTAATACCAGTCTGTATGACGTGTCACTTTTGTATTGCTAGCTGTGATTAAGATTTCTATTTACATTTGAAATAACAAGAATAATAAAGCGTTGTCAAAAAGCTGTGTAGTATAGGTACATGAGGCTGTCTCATGTAAAAGCTAAACATGTTCGACGATTCATTGTTTCAGAGGTTATTCTAGTCCTGCATTTAACTTAATAAATTGAAAACCCAAAAGCTGTCTTTTATGACTTTGTTCGGAGTTGCTTAAATGCTTGGTGATTAAATGGATATGCATAAGATTTACATTTAATTGCATGGTGGTAATTGTCTAGCCACTTTATCTGAGTTAGATTTAATTTTTGTTGTACTAGTTCTATTAAATTTGTCATTGCTCAACTATATCCCCCATCTGCCAAGATGTTTTTTTTGTTTTCGTGTAAAGTTGGATTTTTATTATGGCAAAATATCTAATGTTTTGTCTATCATAACGTGGATAATTGTATATATAAATTATTATTATTACATATTCCATTTTCTTATTTATTACAAGTATATAGTATATTAAATTGTGAAGAACTCATATCTGCTTAGATGTTATCGATATAATAAGTGTCATGGTTTTATTAGGTATTTATTAGTTTTATGAGGTCCAGGGGTTGCAGCCCTATATCTACTATCTTAGCGGTCGCCGCACGCGATTTACATTTTAAGTTCTATTCGCATATGACAAAGAGCGCTCTACATTCCGAAAATTAAAAAAATGGTGTCTCAAGGCCAACATTACCTTTCTTATAAGTCTAATTGCCATAAAAAGATTTATTTGTTGTTTGATATATTATGTATATTAACATTCCATTTTAATGTTACAAATCCCTGAATCATCACTGCACCGTTGTCCAAACAAGATTATTTTTTTTATATATAGCTACTGTAGAAGTGTAAAGGTGTATTTTGATACTTGTAGCTCCAAAGTTAAGTATCGGATCATCTGTCTGTGCTCAAAGAATATCGTTACAGTGAATCTCAAGTGATCATTGAATAAACCTTAAATGATTAGCGGTATGATACTATGAATAAAACTTATTTCAGTGTGACTGTTTTTCAAAAGATATGTCATATTTTGTAAATTTTATAGTGTGGCTATAGCAGTACTATTATAATCTATGTGTCTCATAGTCATAGCTTAGCGCCAATGTTTATTTATGTAAAGTATAAAAATAATATTTTAAAACATTGTATGGTGTAATTGAAGTAATCCTTGCTTTAGTAAGTAATCCACTTGTTCAAGAGCTGACAAATTCTTAGATTTTGTATTTCATAATAATATTATTACATGTTACGTAATTATTTAGTTCATCCTATTTTCTAACAAGTATAATATCTATAATGATTTTGATATCTAGCTGCCCTTGTTTGTTGTAGTGGTTTGGAAGAAGGTATGGTTTGAAAATGTCTTTAGTCAACATTTAACACCAAAATTAAATCCCTGCTAAGTATAAAATTATAGATTTAATACAGTCTGATGTACTTTTGTATTGCTAGCTGTGAATAAGATTTATTTACATTGAAATAACAGATGATAAAGCGTTTTATTGTAAAAGCTGGTATATTAAGGCTACAATGTAACATGTGACTAAATATTGCCGTAACTCATGCTGAATTATACTAAAAGATTATTCTAAAGCATTAAAAAGAGAAGTGACACAATAATGTTGTAATTTATTTTGTTGAGTTTGGTGATTGTTTTCTTAATTGGATATGATTTACATATTAACATATAATTTGTAGCACCTCATGTGTTTAGAATCATTGCTTGACTTTTGAATTCTATATGCGATTATGCATAAACATTTTCCCCCATGCCAAAATGTGGGACACAATCGAATATTTATTAAACAAAAGTTTGTTGTGGTAAACATGACGATAAATTCGAATTTTGGAATTCCCACTCAGATCTATAATTTCAGTTTTAGTTTGAGCTTCCTTGATCTTCATTACACGTGCGAAACAACAGTAGGCCTTATGATAGGAAGAACTCAGAAAAAGACGTATACATGCCATAAGCGGGATAAAGACGGACCGCATGTTGCAGCCGATACCGACTGCTCTAATCCGTCGCCACGGCGGTCTGCAGTTTCCATACTAAATTCATATTCGCAATACACGGACCGCTCGAGCAGTCTGAGCAAAACTGCATGTTGCAGTCGGTCTTGACTGCAACAGGCTATGGCCTGCTTTAGTCGGACCTGTATTTTGACTTGGACTTTGACATACGAAAGTCAGTGTTCCCGCCAAGTCCGTTCTAAAATTCAAAATGTGTTTTAAGAAAGTTGGAAGTATTCAATGTACCAACTAAAAAACCAGAATTTACAGGATATTCCAAAATATACAAATTCACTTATACAGAACCAAATTTCAGTTCACAATTTGGTACTGAATAACCTCTTCAACTAAAAAAGGTCACACTGATACACAGTTTCACTGCATACATTTTTATATTTTCTATGTAATGAGTAATCACTAATCAGTATGTGTATAGATTTCTGGAATTGTGGATTGACATCTATTGTCAAATAATTTTATCATGGTTAAAAGCATACTGGATAGATGGCGTTTTTCACATTCTGGAATTTCTGTCATATGGTAACATATTATGTACTATTAAAATTAATTAGTACTTCCAAAAATTACTGCACCAAAGCCTAAAACATGAAATAAGTAATATACTTTATTAACTTTGCAAATTAAATATCTTAGGTTGAATATTTATTTATTGCACTCACACACTAGGTATTTCATAGATCATTTATATTATCATACATGCCACTACATAAGCTAAACTTGTTTAAAATAAATTTTATGCTGACTCAAACCTTAACTAAACTCTACAAAAGCTATAGAAATAGATATGTTATAATGTTTTTGTTATTGTTTCATATATCTCATGAATTATCCACATAGAAAAGATTGAACATTGTCAAGTTTTATAAAATTGCTCTACTATCTAATAAAACATATGTGCTTATACAAATGATGCAGGCAAAAATCAGTATTAATGAAGCCTTTGAAATGTGAAAATTGGATAAACTTAACTTGATTTCTCCAAGTTACATAGTGTGGACAATGATCATGTTACCACTTATTTAAATAAATTTTAAACAAAAGCAACAGATTAGCTCATGCCTTTAGTCTGAAGATCCAGCTAAGATTGTTGCTTTCAGTGTCCATTTACGTCATCTATAGCAATAATTTCATCTGAGTTTCACAGGTTTGAATGAATAACTCTTCGTTCTAAGTGCATTATATATGTACAAATTATGGATAATATCAAGGTAGTATTTAAGGTTAAATCATATTAGGAGAAGAAAGAACTAATATTTAATACCATTCAAGCAATAACTGATGAGTAATTTATTAATAGTAAAAGCCTCTAAAGTATTAGCAAAAACTTGTAACATGTTTCGTAATTCATTCCATAATTATTGTAGCTTAGAATAAAAATTTAATCACATATCCTAAAAAAAATGCATTAAATTAACCGATACAAAGAATTTAATACTTAATAAACATAGCAAATAGGTATTAAATAAATGAGATTACATAAATAAAATAAGGGTTAGCTTTTGTATATTATGTATTTTGAAGTTGCTCACAAAGCCAAATGAAATTTACATAAATACAATTTAATCATAACTTTTATACAATAAAAATAGTACACTTAAGATTCTCAGAAAAATAAAAGATGATCACTGAAATAAATTATTTAATATCCTTCAACTGTCTACCATGAAAATCATTCAGTATCACTAGAGATCAGGGAACTGATTGCATTTACAGCACTTATTAATAAGGTTCCAGCAAAGGCAATGAACTTTGTGACAATACACACTATCCTTGTATAAAATTAACCAAATTTCATAAACATTGAATATATATACATTCTCCCGATGTTAAATTTGCTATTTTTATTACAGTAAAAAAATATGCATACCTAATATCATAATGAAAGCTACAAGTGAGTGGGTAAACAGTGGGCTGTCGATCGTGCCTATACAGTATAAGGGTCTACATTCAAATGCAAGATAAGGGCTGCGATGGTCAGCAACCTTAGCAATAATTTCACAATTGTCTCTTCACAAGTTAATGGTCTAGGTAAACATAACTTGCACTCTTAAATCATGATAATAATATAATTATGTTAGTTTCTTCCACGTCTTTCGAGTGTGGGGAGGCACTGGTTGCAATTGTATACGCTCAGTTGTCCATTGCATATCTCCTGGTCCAGTCCTTGGCGTTACGGATTGCCTCGCTTTCGTTTACTTTCCACAGTTCTGCAACATCATTCGCAAGTGGGTCGTCTGGATTCGGCGCGGATAGTAACGCCTGGATAGATAGAAGCACCGTACGAATTTGAAGCGCCGGACTCCACTTGTCTTTCAATATGTCCAGGCATATACGACCAAGCCGGTCTATGTTCGGGTGATATATTTTAGTTATAAATCTAACCTTCGGTGCTGACATGGGGTAATCTTCTGGTAGAAATAGTTCTAATTTGAATAGTCCACCTTCAAATGGCGAATCCTCAGGACCCGTTACAATCACATGGAAATAGCGTGCATTGGACTCGCTAGGCACCGCACTTATTCCCGGCACGGGTTCTTGCATCAATCGCTGTGTCTCTTTGATTATTCTACGTGGTAGGGCTGCCATTTTAAATATGCGGTCTAGCGCAATTTGTCAAATGGAACAAAGTAATCATATAATTTTAATAAAGTATCTAACCGTCTTTGCACTTTACGCGTTTTTAAAGATTAATGAGGCACGTATGTTGTATACTTAAATTACAGCAGCATTTTAAACGTGATCATATGAAAAACGCGATTACAAAAACGAAGTTTCAGAGCTCACTTCAATTTTTAACTACACCATAGATAAAGAACGATTTTTTTCACAGGCTATAGACCGCATTAATACAGATTATACCAAAACTCCATTTGCAATATATAATCAATAATTTTTTATGAAACTATTAAAAACCTTGCTTTGCCGATTGTATAATGTTTTCAAATTTTATATGCTACATGCATAGCATTTGAATATTTATAAATCACCATCGAGACACTATATAACCAAACTTACGTATTCGACAAAATATAAATACGATCTTACTCACAAGATGGCATTAAAACTTATTTATAGTTAACCCAACAAAGACTTAAACGTCAAGAATTAGAGGTTTATTGGAACGAAGTTCCTTATCGCGCGTTGTGAAAGGCTAGACAGAAAAAATTCTTACGAAAAGTTGTCACGACACTTTTTTGCTATTTGCTATAATACACCGGTTCTCGTCCGATCACCGAAGTTAAGCAACGTCGGGCGAGGTCAGTACTTGGATGGGTGACCGCCTGAGAACACCTCGTGATGTTGGCTTTTTTTTGTAGGGATAAGAAATGAAAATTATTTTTGGAATCACTTAACGAAATTAGTCTTGTTGGAACGAAGTTATCGAGCGTTGCGAAAGGGGGCTAGACGGAATAAATTAAGACCAAAAGTTGTAACGACACTTTTTGCTATAGTTGTTATATTTTACATTTTCGATTGAACTGTCGCCAACGTCCATACCACGTTGAATACACCGGTTCTCGTCCGATCACCGAAGTTAAGCAACGTCGGGCGAGGTCAGTACTTGGATGGGTGACCGCCTGGGAACACCTCGTGATGTTGGCTTTTTTTTCGTCGTAAGATTGGTGTCGACAAAATCTATCATACTGTTATGATACCAATTAACATATAAATTAATCGAAAGGAATTTCGTTCCATCCGGGTGTCCCTTGACACCTCTAAAGTTTTCTGTATAGTTTATTATCTGTGGATCTGTACCTTTACAAAATCTGTCATAGATGTAGTTTCGTATTACGTATTTGTAATTTAATAAAATTTTCATATAAATTTAGTTATCAGCTTTCTACATACACTATTGTTAAGGCATCTTGACTAAGCCCCCTGTACGTGAGGTCTAAAATGCTTAACCATCCAGAAAATTAACCACCTTTATATTGGCATGACCGTACGTGTCTGTTCGTAACGGATACCTTAAAAAAAGTTACATTATATGCCTATCGATAATCGACATTTTTGTCAGTGTACACTGTACATGTCATATAAATCGTTTCAAAAATTATCTTTTATAATAATGTATTAAATATAATACAAAAAGTATCTTCTACTGTTCTACATAGAAATCATTGCTTCATTTAGTAGTTTTGTACACTTGGACCAACAGTAACATGCATTTCACGAATTAAGAACAGGTTCAATACATTTCCCAGCACATATTATACGTAAATAGATATTCAGGATATATTATAGATATTCAGGAAAAACAAAATCAGGCGTTAATTTCTAGTCCATATATTTATTATCAACATAAGTTTTAGACTCTAATATGGAAAGTAGACACGAAATCTGGGGCCCGAGCCACCACATGTTCAAAGTCCATGAAGGAGAGTTTCCCATCTCCATCCACATCAGCCTCATCCAACACACTTGTCACTATCTCCTCTCGTTCATCTTCATGCAGCTGCCCAGCTGTCAGGAGCTTGGTAGCTTCCAGTAGGTCCTCGCGCCCAATATACTTGTCGTCATCTAGATCGTAAATCCTGAAGGCATACCTAATATAGAATATGCGTATTAAAAGGCGCATAATGCGAATGTCTACATACTATACACATTTACATTATAATTAAATTAGATTTAGTTTAAATCTCTGAACTACGTATATCTAAGCAAATTTAAACGCCTGATATGACATGTAATTAAAATACATATATATATATATTTTTGGATATTATTAAAAAAATACGAATAAGTTGTATGAAAAGCTTTTGTTTCAGTTGTACTCTTTTGTATGAACTTATATAAATCTTAAATTTGGTAGAAGAGCGTGTATAAATATGGCTTCTGCAATTCGACATAACATCGTACCCTGGTCCAAGTCAAATTACGACACTTGGTGAGTACAAGTTTAAGTAACTCTTATAAAGGGGACAAACCTATATCGTTTTCTTAAATAGATATTATTACTTAAGTAATAATTGGCGTACGTCTAAGTAGGCTGTAGTCAGCTGTTTAAAAAAGCTGCTTAAAAAAACCTTTAAGTTTTCACTTATATAACGCATTCTTTTCCCATCCACTGTACCTACTTCTACTGACACGAATTTGTATTTTTGTCAGGTGGAATGCTAAATTTAAGAGTAATCGTTAAATAACAGCCCATTTCCGAAAGATGTAACGATTAATGGGTCTTATTCAGTCGATTATGGCTAAAACTTTGTCATCAATCTTGGAATTGAAATTGACGAGTTTAGTTAAAACCCTATTATTATTGCCAGGAGATTACTTTGATACTCAAATATTTTAATATCATTTTAAGTGTTCTTATCTATTCACAAAGAACCGTTCATTTATATTAAAATAAATGACGACAACCCCGGTTTCGGGGGTACAATACTATTGTTTTGTAGGTATGAAGTGATTAAAAATATTATGTTTATATGTACTACTCTCTACATAGAATTATATGAACCCTGTATGTCTACTTACAATTTGTTAAGCGTATAAGCCGAGGAAAGTGACTTTATTTTATAATATAACTAGCTGTGCTCTGCGGTTTCACCCGCATTTTTTTGATTGTCGCGTGATCTTATATACGTAGGCTTCCTCAATAAACGCTCTATCTACTATTTTTGTAGATTGAACATATCTCAGCGCAATTATAAGGTTTAATAATAAAATTATAATCTAGTAATTGTTTTTATGTCCTATCACACAAAACTTGTCCTCACATTAATCAATAAAATAAAAAGAACATACAAAGACTGAGGCCAAAAATAAAAAAAAAATGTCTAGAAAGTAATTCTTGTCCATGACTTTCGGATAAGCCTGTTTCATATTATACTTTACGTCAATAAATAAATAACTTCGGTAACTTCCCAGTCTAAAATTCACTTTATGAGCTTTGACTATACAGGGCTCTGCTCTCTAGGGATGTTACAAATTCACTAAACTATGAATTAGTTAAAATAAATATTTAATGTATGGACTAACCATGCCTTAATATCCCGTGGCGCGGCTTCACTAAACACTGACATCATATCCAGAAAGTCTTCAAATGTGAGGTTACCAGAACCATCATGAGAGAAAACCTGGCAGATTCGTCTTTTGAATGGATTTTCCTGCAAATCAATTCTTCCTAGAGAGGAACCCTAACCTTCGTACAACCATTGTTAAATAATAAAATCATGTTTTTAATTAATACATTCACTATATGAAATAGTTTATAAGTACTAATTTACACAATTCTCTATTATTCTTATTTAATTTTTCTAGTTTTTGTTTCAACTTGAAGTTTCACTTACTTTTAGTTCAGGCAATTTTTCTATTTCTTCAACTGGTACAAGAATAGTGTGAGCTTGGTTTTCGGTCATGCTCTTAGGAATCAATGCGGGATTTACGTCTCGAAACCGTTTGAAAACTCTAAAAAGATCAACATTAAAATTTACTAAACTAAGTTTGTTTTCAAATCAAAATTTGAGGACATATCTGACCTCTGTTCAAATCTCTCGTTCTATACACTTTATCGTAGCTTACTTCTTACCCAAAGTGAGCCTTGGTTTCCGAAACTGGACAACGCCACGTTTGCCGATCGGATACTTAGAGCTCGCGTAGGGCAAAAGCGTAGCTTACGCAACAATTCCTTAATTGAAATTGCCGCGCCCTATTCTGACCGGGATTTATAGGAAAATTATTGTCACAACGCAAATGTTTCAAATGAATACAAAGCTCTCGACAACATATTTTGAACAGGATTTTAATGTAAACTTCGGAACTGTGTCGAAAGCTTTCAAACGTTCAATTTGGTATTCCTTTTGTTATTCTAGATGGAGTTAAAAACATATTTAATATTGAAAATAAAACTGTGTTCTCTTTAAGCAATATTTAAGGCATATTAAATATTGGATACAATTATCGCTACTTTCATGAATGTTGAATATTGCTTTTTTACGTGGAGTTTACCTTAATATTTCCTTCCTCGTGAAAAAGGTGCAGTCCTGGTAAAGTTAAATACATCATGTTTCTTGTATAGATTTAAATATTTTATACTGTTACATAGAAAACAAAACCTCAAGTTGAGTACCTGATAGTCCTCCAGTTGTTGTTCCGTGAATGTCACAACTTTGTTTCCCATTGTGAAAATAAAAAGTCCGAGGAAGTCGTGGGCTTGTCAGGTGGAGACTGCCAATGGCGCGCTAGTTCAGTCTCGCAAACACTCGTAAACATAGTGCATAGATTACTTACTTTCGTGGAGTATTCGCCAACATGAAAGGAAATTGTGACATGAAACATCAATTATACGAAGATATACTATATGAAGAACGAGAAAGTTAATTACAATTGCAAGCAGCTATTAATTTATTAGTTATTACGTATAAATAGAAGGAAATTATTTCTACCTTTATTATAAAGAAGTCTAAATTCTTTTAAACTAAACTTATTTAACTTATAGTGATTTTCGTCGTTTCAATATGAAGCTTTCTACTGTCTCTGGTATATATTGTGTTTATTCTTATATATCTATGATACTACTATCAAATCAAATATCATAAGTACTCCTCGGTTAACTAATATGAATCTCTGGACAATATTAATCTATGAGGAAAGAGGGTGGAGCTGCCACACCTTGGCCTCCCCACAGTCAATTACATTTTGTTAATCATGCAGCGATATACATTGTACGTGAAATAACATAATAACCTTAACACTTTGCCGTGATTCACTTACTTTGCATCTTTTGGATTGTAAACGTTGTTCATAACTAGTGCGTTATTCACAACTAATACTTTTAAAATACCAAATACATAAATTGTGTAGTAGTGAGTTATACGACTAAATGAAAAGTAAACAACTCAATTTTTTAATTTTGTATTGTTAAGCCCACCCCCCACATTCTGAATAGCAAAGTTCTTCACTATTAAAGTTGTTCGTGTCTGGTAGCGGTGCTCCACAAAATGTCGCCCAACGAATTAGCACGCATTTCCGTCTATCCCATTTGAACGTGTATCTGAAGAATAGTGTGTCACTATTATTATTATGTTTACAACTTTTATATGGACGTATAAAAGTAATATATGTAACCAGATTTCTTAAGATAATGAAAAACCCCTACGAAGACAGACGTAACTCATAATTATTCGATTTTTTTTACGTTGCCTATATTCATTACTTATGTAACATTATGTCATTTACGTACATTTTAATTGTTACGTGGGTAACACTGAAAATGTTTAATACTGGCCAGTTAGAAACATTGCTAATGAAAACTTTTTTTATTTTCAATTTTACAACTCTTCAGTAACCTAATGTAGTATATTGCATTCATTTGTCATTTGTTTTTGTGTGAATTGGCGTCAAATCTAAAACTCTTTGTTATTCGTGAAAATTAACCTAACGCGAGAAAATTTTCGGTCAATGATCTATTATGACTTTCGTTGTAGGCTTACTCAACAACAAAGCTATGATTGGCTGCGAGCATTTCTTAATGAAGCCCCATCTCGTGCCACTATTTACAATTGGTTTAACGAGTTTAAGCGTGGACGTAGCAATCTCAAAGATGATCCGCATGAGGGACGTCCCCTCGACGACGGAAAGTATTGGCAACTTTCTGCATTAGGCCGTTTTTCAGTTTCTAAACATTTTCAGTGTTACCTAGGTATCTATCTATCTATGTTAGTTGTAGGTATGTGTTATTTTCCTTTGGATAGTTTACCTTTCTGTGTGAGCCCATCTCTCTCGAGACATCCACTCGATGATACAATGCCGTTGAATTGGGTACTTTTGACATAACTTTGGATCTACTGATAAGAAACTATATTTTTATTAAAGCATAATAACTTCATAACAAAAGTATTTCTAATATGTATTATAAATATAGCTGTTAAATTAAATCACTTACGTTGAAATGACAAGTTTGAACACACCAATAAAATGAAGATAAGTACGATCATTGTCATGAGAGGTTATCAATTAATTCGTAATCATTAGTCTCGATATACAAAAACATGTAATACGTAGATAAATTATAACATTGTTTTAAATATGGCGGAAATATATAAACATGTAAATAATATTATATAGAGTTTTTAACAATTGTATTAAATACGCGTATTAATGATTGTCAAATAAGGAAAACGGGTGTAAGGAATGGAGTAAAACAATCACAATGCTTTTGGCGGCGTCCATGCGTCGGGTTGTCTCTCTCCCTAAAATATGGCGAGGGGGCCGATGGCTGGCCATGCGTCATGCTCGTGAACGGGTGCCGCTTGTGGTGACTGGTCGTACTTGAATTCGTGTATGCGGTATTGTTGTTGCTTATTTCGACTATGTGTTGGCGTGTTGTTCCCACGAGAGTGTGCGTGCTCCTATTTCACCATGCGTCCTGCTGATAGAGGGCAAGTCTTTGTTTTTGTTTTAATTTATGTTATTATTATTAATTACTTCATATGTCATGTGGAACATGGTGTAATGGTTGCAGCGTTGTGTAAAAAAAAATGGCGATTAAAAAGAGTGGCGGAGAGTTTATTGCCAGTTCTTCTCTTCCGTTCTACGCCCTTGATTTGAGAACTGGCAGTAAATGTAAAATTAGAAGCATTAATATGTATTTCTTTACTGACGAGTCATAAGTGTTCATTATGTTACCTACATGATTAAATGATTTTTACTTCACACTACATAGAATAAAACAAAGTCTTTCTTACATTGCAAACGCAGGCTAAATCTCGTAAGATTTATCAAAATAATATACTATGTATTATACACATTGAAAAGGTCAACAGAAAACTCCGCGATGGTATATGTGTATCTCTTATGGATATCCCACAATAACATTTTTTTATCATTTACTTTTTACGACAAATAATGGCTAAATTTCGAAGCGATTTTAACTAATACAGCAGTAATCCTTATCCAATTAAATACCTTAAATACATTGTTGATTTTTTTTTTATAAGTCCCCGCCAACAAGCACGCCGCTTCGAATGAGACAGTCCGATAGCAGCGAGCTGCCCGAACCGCCATCACTCGCTGCGGCCTCCTGAGCAGCCCCCAACCTATCCTCCCATATTGGGGCCCCATACAAGGCCATACTGCGAATAACGCCGCAGTACAGCCTCCGAACACTCTGCTTAGGGCCCCCAATATTAGGCAGAAGCCTTGCTAGCGCCCCCGCTGCCCCCACCAACTTCCCCCCGAGAACCTTAAAGTGGACCTCAAAGTTCCAGCGACCGTCCAAGACGAGACCAAGGTATTTCATCTTGGACGACACCGGAACCCTTACTCCTTCCACCATCAGAACCTCCCCAGGAGGTGGACCATTCCTAGGGCCATGGAACAATAGGGCGTCCGTCTTATCGAGAGACACCCTAAGTCCCCACATTGTTGATTTAATATAGATTTATATGGCCCTTTCCAGCATATGACTTAAATAAATATTTTCGATGATATTACAGATTTTTAAATTGCGGGACCTAGCGTTAGCTACACTACCGGCCGGCCGGGGCGGGAGCGTGCCTATAAACAGAGCGTCGGAGGCCGCGGTTCTCAGCGGTAGGAATTTAGCAGCGATCGAACGCGTTTATTATCGGAGCTCTCTAGCGAGGAAAGGCTTTCACCCCTGCTCTAGGCCACGTACACAGACGACGTCCCGTGCCCAGAAGGGTGCACCCTGGCCCTATACGCCGATGACACGGCGCACGTGGCGACATCGCTGAAGACCTCGCACGCTGCGACAAAGCTCCAACGCGCTCTGGACCTCCTGCCAGAGTGGCTGGACAATTGGAGACTTGCCGCCAACCCGGACAAGACCAGCCCTGCGATTCTGTAACTCACTTTTCGAACTCGGCGGTTTTCGGTCGCCGGTACTCCATCAGGTGAATGGATTGGCAATCAAACGGTAGAAGCTTCTAGCTTATTGTTTTCAGAATGCCAAACCATAAAATGACTGCTTCACGACTGATTTGAGAGCGACCGGCGATCCGAAAACCGCTGAGTGAGTTCGAAAAGTGATTTACAGAATCGCAGGGCAGGCCTTCGGCCGGGGTAGGTTGACATCTCCAGGGCTGTAGGGAGAGCCAAGTGGGCGACACACAAGCTCAAGCCACTCTTCACAGACAACCTACCCCTCCGCACCAAGCTCACGCTTCATAAATTATATGTGCGCCCTCACCTCACGTACGCGGCACCGGCGTGGTTCTCCTACGCTAAGGAGACCAACTGCCGAAGACTGCACACCGTGCAAAACACTCTACGAAACGTAGTAAAAGCCCCACGTTACGTGAGGAATGGCACCATAGCGCGAGACATGCGGATGGAGTCGATCGACGAGTTCATCGCAGGGCTCGCAAAGAGGATGTTTGATCGAGCGGCCTAACATCCTCACCTTGAGAACATCGCGCCGTGGCACTTCAGGCCGCCAGACTCACACAAGTACCCGCGTGAGCTTTTCTTCGTGGGTCCCGACGACACCAGGGCAGGAACCGCGGCTTCGACCGCTGGTCGCCCCGCTGGGCCTCCCCCGGGCCGCGAGCCGCGAGTCTGCCCGATACCACCGACCAAGACACCAGGGCCAAGTCGAGACAACACCTTGGCCCCTCACCACCGGACATGACCCCAACGGCATCGGCTGCGCGCAGCGAGTAAAGACTACATCTCCTCGCGCGCTGCGGCCCCCATCAAGGGCTATACGCCCGGCCCCGTACCACCACCACTGTATCAGCAGGGTGCGAAATATATACACCACCCGAAGGGGGCATACGCCCCAAACGGGCCCAAAGCTCACCCCTCTCGAGGGAGTGTGCAACAAATACCACGGCGTGGCTCAGTGGCTCTTCGACTTTCAAGGTAACATCTATGGTATAATATTATTTTGATTATTTTTGATGATGATATACAGGGTGGCCCAAAAGTCGACGTCAAGTCGAAATTTTCTCATAGGTAATGCCACACCAGTTATCAGAAAAATTAAAAGAAAAAAATAAGTCATGTATTTTTTGATGTTGGAGTGATCGGCACAGGGTTTAGGATCATAGGTTACATAAAGCACTATTCGGGAGGACGTAAGAGAAAAAATTTGGCAAAAAGTAAATATTTGTAACAACAGGAATGAAAAAACTGTCACATGGTGTACATTTTCTGGAATAAAAGGAAATTTCCATAACTTCAAAAATACATGACTTAATTTTTTTTTTTAATTTTTCTGATAACTGGTGTGGACCTATGAGAAAATTTCGACTTGACGTCGACTTTTGGGACACCCTGTATATTGTAGGTACATTTAGGTCATATTGATGTATTATATAATGTTATTATGTAATGTCTTTATATACTGATGACTGGTGTATTTTAAAATACGGTTAATACAAACACTTGTTGTTGTTAATTATGGTTGGCATATTGTTATATACACTACTGCGATAGTCACTGGTTATATGCAAGATAAATAAAATGTTATTATGAATTTAATCCTACTTTTTATATTTTTCCTAATAATAAACAAGATTTTAGTTATATTTCTATATATATATATATATATATATATATTTTATAACACACGCGTGTGAAGCCGGAGCGGGTCACTAGTATATATATAATTTATTCTTTGCATTAGATAGTCTGCATCGATAAGGAATTGAACCATCTCCATATTCAGTTCTATTTCTTCCTCTTCTACAAATCAGCAAATGGACATATTTTGTTGTTATGAACCACCTTCGCCTGCGTCTACACTGCGTCTAACTAGGTGAAATATTCCTATCGATATCAACATCTTTACAGGCAATGTACACCGAAGTTATGTGTCTGCGAGTTATAAATAACCAGCAGATTATACAAATAGTTTCTTAGGACTTTGTTTTAAACGCTACGTTTTTTTTTTTAATACACAAAGTAGGTTTAAGTCTTAAGTTGCAAAAAAACATGTTTCATATTATGAACATTATATTAAAAACTATCTTTGTTATTATGCTGTATTATTTCTAAAGGAAACCGTATATAAATTTTATATATAAATTGTATATATATTGATAGAGTACATAATATATTCTATCAATATATGTACAATTATAGTACGATATGGAACGATTAATGTTAAATCCCTATACTGTCGAAAATTAATGGATACAGTTATAATTGAACTTTAAAATGGCGGACCTTTTAGCTAAATAATTTGCATTACGCATTTTACTGTAACATGCATTCCATACAATAAAATAATTGTTTTAACTCCACCGTAACAGCTTTCGCTGCCGTGACCAGGATTCAAACCTGGGTTACTACGGCCACAACGTAGGGTCCTAACCACTAGACGATCACGGCTATCGGAGCAGATACCTTTCACCACTTATCTCTCAAAAGGTATCGTGAATTGTATTACTAAGCTAAATTAAAATGACCAACTACCCGTTCCTTCTATAAGTGATAGTGTAACTTCTTAAATCTTTCGTATAACCGTTGTGAAATAAGAAAAACGAGAACAACCAAATTGTGTATTTTATGTAACTTTCAAGAGCGCTTGCGGCGACCGAAACCAATCAAATATTGATAATGTCTCTGACTTCAATTGAACTCCCATCACCTGCGATGGCTGTGTATTTTATGTCCAAATAAAATTAATCTCTTGTAATTTCACTTCTGATCCAATCTAAATATGGGCTGACGGGTACACTTATACTCGCATAGTTAAATCTTCCAAAAAGCGGGCTATTCTTTTTTTCGAAACACCTAATAACCCCAAAATGGACACCAATAACTCCCGAACTATGCAAAACTGTGCCTCCTGAATCTCCTGGACACAGGAACTCTGTTACCCCGCACTTAGGTACTGTACATATACTTAGATATAACTTTGAAATCGGAGTACGTTGACATGTCATCAACATAACATCCATCATTTTTAAAGTAAAGTTTGTTCCTGGATCCTTTTCATATTTAGTATACGTTATTCCATAACCTAAGAGTATCGCTTCTTGTCCAACGAGAGTGGTATAGTCGACTGAGCTGAGTTTCGCGTAAAATGGAAGTTGGATGCTATCAGTTTTCACTAAAGCTATGTCATTTGCTAGGCGTTCGTTAATTGGCCTATTTGGATTCGAGATTATTTTAAGAATATTTTTTCGTTGCGGCTCACCTGTTGTATTATAACGAATAAATAGTGGTACCAACATAATATTCATATCGTCAATGCAGTGTGAGGCTGTTAACGTCCAAGTGGAAGAGAGGACAGTGGCGGAACAGAATGGATCATATATTAATTTCCGGACCCCCTCGTGTGTTGTATATCTCTGTTCTTCCATAAGGACTGCGAAAGGAAATTTTTCCATATCAGCGTATTTACCTCCATAAATTCGAAGATCCGGCCTAAGGTGGCTAAAACCAAGACCATACAATAGTGTTAACACATGCAAAACTCGATTAATCATTATATTCAATAAATTCGAAACAAAAAATAAAACAAACAATTTTTAACGTGAAACCCCTTAACGTTTGTATAGGATAATAAAAAATCTAATTTGATTTTTATATATTTTTATGGTATTGCGTAGGCATATTGCATAGTAAGTAACCATTACTTTGCTAAAATATAATAAATCATAAATTACCTAATGAGATATAAAAACGTTTACGCTTATCAATATATCATAATTAGTGGAATTATTTTGTTAATAATAATAATATTAAGAATATCATTTTGTTAAGTCCAAATCGACGTATTACAAAAACGCAAAGAATTTGTATTTGTAATACGTACGGAAAAATATATTTTATAATATTTTCCTCTTAATTATTTTAATTTTTCATAAATAACAAATGTAAGTATGTAAGGCGTGTCTTGAATAATAAAAAGATAAACACCGGACTCATTCCTCATATAACGGTTCTCACACAAGATGTTTTTTTTTGTTTTCGTTGTAAAGTATGGACTTTTGTATTTTGGCAGCAATTACTACAGTTTGCCACTATCATAACGAAATTTACACATAAATTATTATTACATATTCCATTTTCTTATTTATTACAAGTAGGTACGTACGTACATATATAAAACCCTCAAATTTTTTACCGTACAGTAAAAAATTTGGGGGTTTTAATTGATCAAAATTTATCCTGGGAGCAACATTTTTTTTTTTTTTTTTATATACATGTGTCTTTACTAAGACATCATGGAACATTACAATCTAGCCTAACTTAAGACTAATAAGTAATTTAAGTCTAACCTAATTTATTACAAAGGATATTTAACATAAGAAAGTGTCCAATAACACTACTTACAGTCTCTATTAAAGGGAAGACACTTTGTTCTTGTGTTCTATTTTTTTTTCAATCACTGTTTAGCACTTAATACTAACGAGCACTAACACTAATTCACTAGTTCAAACGGTTTTATTACTGTGGCGACGTCCTCTACATTAAGGTCCCGATGGAGGTCGTTATTGCGAATATACCAGGGAGCATTGACTATTCCCCTGAGCACTTTGTTTTGGAATCGTTGGATTACTTGGATGTTACTATTACTGGTACAGCCCCACAGCTGGCAACCATAAGTCCATACAGGTGTCAGGACTTGTTTGTAAATCAATAATTTATTTTGAACTGATAGCGCGGAATGCCTTCCGAGCAACCAGTACAATTTAGTGTAACGGAGATCCACCTCTTCACGCTTCTTTTTAACATGGACCTTCCATCGGAGTTTGGTATCCAGCGTCATACCTAGGTACTTAGCTGAATTTTGGAACGGCACTTTGACGTTATCAATATATACTGGCTGGTAATTTGATGTTTTGTTGGTAAAGTTTATGTGAACTGATTTAGACTGATTTAATCGTATCCGCCATTTTTTGGTCCACAAGCCAACAGTATTTATGGCTTTTTGTAGTTTTACTACCGCTTCCTTTTCAGTATCTGCCGTAGACATGATAGCAGTATCATCGGCAAAGGTAGCGATTACGTTATCTTCTAATTCAGGAATATCGCATGTGTATAAAAGATACAGGACCGGACCTAATACACTCCCTTGCGGCACCCCAGCTTTTGGACTACTGGACTACGCCGATTCTTCTTCTTCCGATCTAAACGAGGAGTTGCTAAATAAACTGGATCGTCTCCAAAATTTCTGTATCCGATTTATATTCGGTCTAAGAGAGTACGACCATATCTCTGCGTTCCGTAAGCGGATAGGCTGGTTACCCATTCTTCAGCGACGCGATGCTCATGTTCTCCATCTCTTATATTCCATCCTGTTCAACCCTAAAACTCCTTCCTATCTCAAAAATGAATTAAAATTTTTGGGATGCCATAACTATAGCTTACGCTCTTCCGAAAACTATATCTTGAAATCCCATGTTATAACTCCTCCTTTCTTGGCGAGTCCTTTCAGGTCTTTGCAGTTAAGCTATGGAATTCACTTCCAGTCCCTATTCGCTTAGCTCCTTCTCTATCTTCCTTTCAATTTCTTCTGTACAAATATTACCTGTCCACATCGTATCCCTAACTTTAATAATACCTACTAACTGACGTGAGACTGATCTTAAATTAAATTATAATAATTCATGTGCACTTATTATTATTATTTGTTGTATACTTTATTAGTTTAGTTTGTTTTTTGTTCCTGTTTAGTATATTTTCCTTAACAACTATATGTAATACATGTATTTTTGCACTTCTTGCCTACCTTATGTAATTTAATACATTTTTTTTTTCTTTTCTCACAGTGGTTGCCTGGAAGAGATCGCTCGAAAGCGATAAGGCCGCCAGTTTCCTTTACATGTAATTATGTCAAATTTTTATATTATAAAGCAACAAATTGTAAATAAATAAAAAATAAATAAATATATTAAATTGTGCAGAACCCATATCTGCTTAGATGTTATCGATATAAGTGTCATGGTTTTATTAGGTATTTATTAGTTTTATGAGGTCCAGGGGTTGGCGTAAATAGCAACTACGGTCCATAGTGGATGAGCAATACACCCGTGTGTGCCCTAACTCCAAACATTTATTTTGGCTTTTAAAAGGACTACCTCTACCAAACTCCATCCAATTATGCACTCTCCAATTATTTTTACTATTGCGACCGGGCATTGTACAAACACACTTCTTGTTCTGTATGTTCAATGTCTTTACACCTTATTAATACTTATTAACTCTGCTGCGCAGTTTGCCTTATTCGGCCGGGCAGCAATTACATCCTCGGCAGCAACTGCGTCGTCGAGGCCTTTAACCCTCATACACACCATTTTTCCAGGCCTACTAACTCTCGCCGTTGTAGTCAGCGCAACTTTTAATTTTCTGGCGAGTAAATCTGCTTTTTCTTTATTAGCTTCGCCTTGTATCTCAATAAGACGCCCACCTGCTGCTGCCCGCCTGATGTTTATGTGACTTATGCCAAATTTAGATAAAGATTAAGATTAAAATTTATTTTATTTTTATCTATTCCTCGCTTTGTTAATTACCTCAGCATACCTAACACCATTTTCCTCAGCTTCCTATTCTAATGTCACCAGTACTGCTGCTGACCGCGGCACTGTGAGCAATGCCCCTCCTTTAGGTGGAACCGTCTCATGTTGCACCATCTTTTTACCTTTTTTCCTCGAAACAACAGTAGCCCAACATCCTGTGCGTGCAATCGATCTGTCAACTACTGTTTGGTCGGACTTCGACTTTACTTTCAGGTAAAATCCTGTTTTCTATATCCACCAAGTTTTTCTTCACGAGTTCCTCTGTTGAACGCAACATTTCGCTTTTTAGATCTTTCCCAAATAATTTTAAAACCGCAGTTAGTCTTTCGGCTAGTTGTAAAACCCATTCCTTATTTCCTTTACCGTCGATTCTTCTTGTACCTCTGATTCCGGCATAAAGAATGGTGTCGCTTTTAATGCTTCACGTGCCTTACTCAAGCCTACTGTAGCAACTTGGATAGTTTCTCTTCTTGGTGTCTCCTCTGTTTCCGTGTCTGAACCCGTCATCTCCCCGGAAGGTAGACAAGACTTCTTTCGGTATCCATCACTCATTTGATAGTCCTCCATTTTAAACAATTGTGAGATATAACACAAAGAAAACAATAATATTTATAAATAACCAGAATATTATACAAATAGTTTCTTAGCACTTTGTTTTAAACGCTACATTTTTTTAATGCACAAAGTACGTTTACATCTTAACGCCTTTAGTACACCTACGCGTTCGTATGCGGCTGCGAGTCTTTGCGAAATAATTGCGGTAGCGAAATATCTGCGGAACGTTAGTACACTGCAGTTTTTTCGCAAGGAAATGTCATTGTAGCTTTATTTCTTACCCCGTCTTTTCTTGAATTTTCCTCCATGCCACCTCTTTTTTGTATGCATTTTTGTAATTAACATGCCCAACTAAATATAATTCGGGATAATTTCGAATCAAATTTAATAATAATTCAATATTTTCGGCTTCCATTGTGCGAAATTCTGCCCTCACTGACAGAACGCGTGGTGACGCATTGCGATGCGAAACTCCGCTAGCGAAACGGCTGCGTCTGTGTAACAGCCATTTCGCAGTTACTTGCGAAACAATACCGACAAGGACGCAACTATTTCATCTAGCTATATAATACGTAGTCGGTCCCAAAGTTCTAAAGCTAAAAAAAAAACTAAGTACTGATCAGTTTTTAATGAGTGATATATCAATTAATAGTACATAAATTAAGAAATAGAAATAGCATAAAATTATTCGAAATGACCTCCCTTATTTTTAATACAGGCCCTTAAGCGCCGCGGCCAGTCGTCTATCGCAGCACGCACCATATTCATGTCGATTTCAGTGACTGCTTTTTTTAAAGATGACTTCAGACACTCCAAATTTTTATGGGGTTTATCACAGACCTTCCTCTCTAAGACCTGCCAAATTTTATAGTCCAAAGGATTAAGGTCTGGACTGGAGGAAGGCCAATCCTCATGTCTAATTAAGTCGATGTTTTGACGCTCAAACCAGGTTTGAGTGGTCTTGGCTTTGTGTGTAGGCGCAGAGTCCTGTTGGAACACAAAGTGATGTCCCGAAAATAGCGTGCTGGGCAGGTCTTTGACAAGCTGGTCCAAAACCGTGTCTTGATACACTTTTGCACTGGTTTTGACCCCCTTTTCGCAAAAATGAACCTCAGTTGGCCCGTAATAGGACACTCCCAACCAGACCATTACTGATGATGGATGATGTCCATGTTGCACCCTCGGAACTTTATTTCCAGCTTCTTCAGAACTCCTAGCGTACACTCTATCATTCTGTTTATTGTACTTCTCTTCAATATCGAAAAATTTTTCGTCCGTAAAGAGGATATCACGGTGTCGGTTTTTCGCGTACCGCTTTAACAAACCCCGCGATCTCTTAAGCCTTATTGCTTTTAGACGAGCATTAAGTAGGTGCCCACTCTTTCTTTTGTATGCCCGTAGACCAAGATCTTCATTTAAAACCTTTTTTACTGTTTTCCTACTGACACCCATCTGCAAAGCCATCAACTTCTGTTTTCGGACAGGATTTCTTGCTATCCGCGCCTTGATAGCTTTGATCACTGCTGGTGTCCTTGCGGAGCGTGGCCGGCCAGTTCTTTTCTTGTCCTCAACACTGGAGACTTCATTGTACCTATCAATAGTACGGTACACAAACCTAAGCGTTATATTTAAATTTTTGAGCAACTTGAAAATGGTACTCGCCGAGTGCCCACAGCGGTGCAACGCAATAACAGCTATTCGGTTTTCTTTCAATGTCCACTCCATCTTGAAAATTTACGGAAAGTGATTGTTTTTTGTTTTAAAACAATAAGTCAAACAATCAAAAATAGAATGCAATAATTTTTTTATAAAATCATGTTCGTAATTTAAAAATAATGTGCCAGTGACAGAACTTTGGGACCAACTACGTAGAGCGAGACAAAACACATGCGAAACGTTGCCATACAACTTACAGTTTTTTCGTCGTTTCGATGCCGCATGCGATTGCGTAGGTGTACTAAAGGCGTAAGTGACAAATAAACATTTTTCATATTATGAACATTATATTAAAAACTATCTTTGTTATTATGCTGTATTATTTCTAAAGGAAATCTTAATTAACAAAACGCAATATTGTGGATACATTACCATGTGGTAAATTATATTTAATATTTGCTATATGAAGTAAATATACAATATTGCGTAAGCCTATTTCTATATTGTATATATTATATTGTTAGAGTACATATATTCTATCAATATATGTACGATTATAGTACGATATGGAACGATAAATGTTAAATCCCTATACTGTCGAAAATTAATGGATACAGTTATAATTGAACTTTAAAATGGCGGACCTTTTTGTTAAATAATTTACATTAAGCATTTTACTGTAACACCACACAACTATTCCAAACAATAAAATAATTGTTTTAACTCCACCGTTAACAGCTTTCGCTGCCGTGACCAGGATTTGAACCTGGGTTACTACGGCCACAACGTAGGGTCCTAACCACTAGACGATCACGGCTATCGGAGCAGATACCTTTCACCACTTATCTCTCAAAAGGTATCGTGAATTGTATTACTAAGCTAAATTAAAATGACCAACTACCCGTTCCTTCGATAAGTGATAGTGTAACTTCTTAATTTTTCGTATAACCGTTGTGAAATAAGAAAAACGAAAACAACAAAATTGTGTATTTTATGTAACTTTCAAGAGCGCTTGCGGCGACCGAAACCAATCAAATATTGATAATTTATCTGACTTCAATAGAACTCCCATCGTCTGCGATGGCTGTGTATTTGATGTCCGAATAAAATTAATCTCTTGTAATTTCACTTCTGATCCAATCTAAATATGGGCTGACGGGTACACTTATACTCGCATAGTTGAATCTTCCATAAAGCGGGCTATTCTTTTTTTCGTAACACCTAACAACCCCAAAGTGGACACCAATAACTCCCGAATTATGCAAAACTGTGCCTCCTGAATCTCCTGGACAAATGAACTCTGTTACCCCGCACTTAGGTACTGTACATATACTTAGATATAACTTTGAAAGCGGAGTACGTTTACATGTCATCAGCATAACATCCATCATTTTTAAAGTAAAGTTTGTTCCTGGATCCTTTTCATATTCAGTATACGTTAATCCATAACCTAAGAGTATCGCTTCTTGTCCAACGAGAGTGGTATAGTCGACTGAGCTGAGTTTCGCGTAAAATGGAAGTTGGATGCTATCAGTTTTCACTAAAGCTATGTCATTTGCTAGGCGTTCGTTAATTGGCCTATTTGGATTCGAGATGATTTTAAGAATTTTTTTTCGTTCCGGCTCACCTGTTGTATTATAACGAATAAATAGTGGTACCAACATAATATTCATATAGTCAATGCAGTGTGAGGCTGTTAGCGTCCAAGTGGAAGAGAGGACAGTGGCGGAACAGAATGGATCATATATTAATTTCCGGACCCCCTCGTGTGTTGTATATCTCTGTTCTTCCATAAGGACTGCGAAAGGAAATTTTTCCATATCAGCGTATTTACCTCCATAAATTCGAAGATCCGGCCTAAGATGGCTAAAACTAGGACCATACAATAGTGTTAACACATGCAGAACTCGATTAATCATTATATTAAATAAATTCGAAACAAAAAATAATATAAACAATTTTTAACGTGAAACCACTTAACGTTTGTATAATAAAATAAAAAGCAATTTGATTTTTATATTATATGATATTGCATTATGGTAACTACTTTGATACTATATAATAAATCACCTATTGAGATTGAGATAAAAAATCGTTTCCTGGTTATTAAATGCAATAAGTAGAATTTTTGTTAATAATAATTTTAAGAGTATCATTTTACGCAGAGTGCATTAATTGTATTACGTACCGAAATATTAATTTTAAATTATTTTCCTCTTAATTTTTTTAACTTTTCATAAATGACAAATGTAAATTCAACATTGAGATATATACTACAGAATCTACTTGGGAGTTTAAAAATAATTTTATTGCTAACTTATTTATCAGAAATATAAAAGAAATCAGTATTCTGAAATATATAAAATATAATTTGTTTATAGAGAATAAATTGTTAAAATCAAAGGGTAACATGTTCGTAAGGTGATTTCTATGTACAATTTTAAAAAAATACTCCACCGTAACAGCAATTCGCTGCCGTGACCAGGATTCGAACCTGGGTTACTACGGCCACAACGTAGGGTCCTAACCACTAGACGATCACGGCTATCGGAGTTGATATTGGCTGATTCGAAACACGGTATTTAAAGATTACTTTGATATAATATTGAAAGTTTGGAAGGTAGGTTTATAAAACATTTAAGTTTAAAGCTGGTCCGTTCTAATTTAGTCGTGTAATACCAATAACCAAAGCACTTTCACTATTTCTCGTTAGTTTCTGAGATCCATGTCAGTACGATGACCTTGATATAAATAACTTGGTCAAGGTGGATATTCAATTTAGGAATTTGAAACACCTACTACTGACAGTTATATAAACCTCGAAAAAATTAATAAAACAAATTTTGTATCTTTTCCATCATAAAAGGGCCAAGATCCGACTTGAAGAAAAAAAATCTTAAACGTTGACGAATCGCAGCGCAATATCAATTCATAATTATGTAGATCGAAAGTTACCGTATACATTACTGTTATACTTGTGGTTGAGCCGGACTGAAATGCGATATTCTTATTTTATTAAAAATACTACTATATACGGTTGACTACAAAGAGTTCACTTAATCATGTTAAAGATGATAAATAACTGTCAGAAGCGTCATAATTTCATAACCATCATTTATTTAAATAGAAAGAGGATCTCTTTGGTATCAAATTTCCGCTCAATGAAAAATATTTGTATATTGAAATGAATATTAAGAACGATTAAATTTGGTTCGGTTAATCTCAGGATCTGCAAAAATCTATGTAATAATTCAAATTTTACTGAATAAAGATGCGAGAAATTTTATAAAATTTCAATATATATTTGTATATTTCATGTAGTATAAAGTTCTTGCAGATGCAATTGGTAGCAACATAAAAAAGCGTTATGTTACTATTACATCTGAATATTTCATGAGTTTTTAAAAGATTCTCTTTTTATTGGTATATTGATTAATTATTATTTACGAATATGTATATAACAATATATTATAATAACCTAAGTAACACTGAAAATGTTTAGAAAATGAGAAACTTAATGTAGAAAGTTGCCAGTACTTTTATTGTTTTTCGAAGCAATCTCTGTTCCTCTCTACACATCGTCGCATTCGATGATACCACTGAAAAAAGCAGTGGGCCCATTCTTCCTTAGGGGTCTCTTCTATGGCATTTTTGTACCCTTTCACCGCATCTTCAGGGCTCGCAAAACGCATACCTCGAATTATAATTATATTTAGTTCTTGGGAATAAATGAAAGTCGCAGGGCACCAGGTCAGGACAGTATGGCAGATGACTGGTGATCTCGACACCTGCCATAGTAAAATATCTTATAATAACATATTATCCAAAAATAGGTCTTTGGATTTTCTATATTTTGAACTTAATTAATGAAGGTTTTAAGCAAACCTTGATAAATCTAAAAGGAGGATAGTTCCCGTACGTAAATCTCAATTTTCCACCATATTATATCTCAATTATCAGGAACAAAAGGACAAAACTGTGAAAATGTTGGTAAGCCTCCCCCCTTTCGCCGTGACTTTAACCCTTCTCACTATAATTTATTGTTACCTTTGCGTCGCACATTCTGCAACAATATCTGACATTTAGACGGGATTTCATTAATTTTGATAGCTATGTCACGTTAATTAAAAAATAACAAAAGCATTTTTAATATACACACAATTTAGCTTTTCATTAAGTTTTGTTTATAAGTGTCGCGTGACGGTCGGCCGCGGAGTAGGGATAAAGTGAAAGGCGCTCGTCATAGCAGCCAAGGCCAATATGGCGGCACCTATGCAGCTGACCGTGTAATGTATAGACTATTATTTAATATGTGTATATAATCTAAATAATTGTTAAGTATTATGTATGACGTACTCTCTAAGACACAGAGTTCAATAAAAATATTATTATTATTTTACTATTTCCCTTTATTATTCCAATTTTCTAAATATAAAATTAAGATTGATAAAGCGATTTTTATACCCTTAATGGATTATTATTCCAAAAAATTTTAGTTAAATGTCTATAATGTGAAAAAAAGTTTCACTTTTACCGTGGTTTTATAAAACCACACAACCTTTTTTTATAAATTTTAATTTTTAGTTATTATATATTTTTTTTATTTTGTGGTTGTTTGTTTAATTTTTTTGCTTTGATAGATTGTTTATGTTCTTATGTAATTTATGTGTGTATGTTAAATTTGTGATGTCATATTTTTTGTATTTTTTAAGGCATACGTACATTGTTTTAGAACGTATAAATAAATTAACAACATTTTACGTGGCGTAATCTTACAGTAAGCTTTTTATTATTTACGGTTTAGTTATTTGTACTTTAATATTACATATTTTAATAACTTATTTATTAAGAATCTATATGCAAAATAAAAAGAGGTTTGCCCAAAGTGCGAAATTCTGAGCTTGAAAAAAAATTGCTATCGAAAGTGTTGTTCTCTGTTTATTCGGTTATCACCTCATTACTTACTTAAAGCGCCATTAACGGGCAATAAAACAAAAACCAGTGTTTCATACACTTTATTGCTTCACGGATATTATTCTCCATAAAATCTTATACAACCATATTTATAACGATGAATAGAGCACGCTCATGCGAGTAGACTATACGAGGCACTGAAAGACAGGAATCACAGATCAAAGAGTTTAGAAAAGTAGTATCAATAGAGGAAACTGGAAGGAGGGGGCCGCGGGGAGGGCGCAGGACGAGCAAGGCGAGGGTGGAACGCTCCCAACGCTGCCTCGTTTGTTGATGAAGGCCTTTCTTCCCTAACCCTCAACTGAGGAATACGCCATGCAGCGCAAGCTGCAGTGAGCGCATGCCTGTTTAATACCCAATAAGCTGCGGCATTCATAGCGGAATGTGCATGGCCTAATAACAAGGCATACTGCGATATCACTAAGGGAGCATTTAGACCGAACGCGCTGCATATCACTATAGCTGCAAAAGGACACCAGCAGGCTGCGAATATAGCAGCGATTCCTATGAGGACATTTCCCAATCTTCTACGGGATCGAAGCGTTGACGTTTGCGGTTGTGGACCGAGGAGGCTTGGCTGTAGTTTCTTGGATCTGACGTCACCGACGTCAACTGCGTCTCGTCTTTCTCGAGGGCCGACGCCAGCTACGATAATCACATGTGTCGGACGTCGAATCAAAGGAACTGGTAGGGGCAATTCTCCATGTGCAGCCCGCGCCGTGAGGGACAGAGCTGTGAGCTTCACGCGGACACCCCAATGACATCTTGTGACTGCAATCACTGGCACGCAGAATGTGACTACTGCGTGCGCTGCGGCCAACGGTGGGCACGATAGACACGTCGCTATTACGGTTACTCCCCCTGCAAAAGGTTACTTAAATTATATTAAGTCTCAAAAATTTACAAAAAAATAGTTATCAATCAAATCAAATCAAAATACGTTTATACAGTTTAGATGCGTTTTAGGGCATGTTTATGAATGTCAAAAATGTTTACAAAATTCGCGAAAGCCTTGTTCTGAGAAGATCGGCCAAGAAACTCCGCAAGTTTTACCCTCCCTCTACATTACAATTATTCAAAGGACAATGTCATAAATCACAACGTCATTAAAGTTACATAAGTAAAAAAAATAAAAATCTGTTCTGTGATTTACCACATTCACCATCACACACAACACTTCAAAAGCGTTTTTATCTTCTAGTTAGTCATTAACTGTGTACCTTTACATCAAAATAGTACAATTTTCCATCCATCCAATCCAGTTAAATCAAGAGGGCATCAGAGGGTCCGACATATTTTAATGACGTATTACAAATTGTGGCTTGTAAAATAAATCTGACCAAAAATCAGAGAATGTTATATTCATTTGTTCAATATTTACCCAGTATGAGAGCGGATATCCAAACAACAGCCACAGCGAGGAAAGGTCTGGCACATAAAGAGCCGCGACCACGCCTCACCGCACCACATCGGTCCGCTGCCATGGCAACCAGAGACAGAGTACTGGCCGCCACAGGGAACGACTGGCCACCAGCGAATACAACAATACAAGGAAATTGTTGTGTTAGATTACAATAGACAGTGCCTTTTAAAGAGCATTTAATTATTTGTAATAGAAGTAGTAGTTCTATTAGTAGCCTTTAATAATGATATTATATACGAATCTGATTTCGCGGACTTCGCTAAGGCAATATATTGCATTCTCAAATCAGTATTGTTAAGTTTTCCTTTTCTTAAAAATATAAATAACTGAGTTATAACGAAAATAAGTTTGGAATTTAATTCAACGACTAACGACGTCAACAACTCAAACATCATTAAAAATATGTCATAGAATTATGAAGTAAAATATTTTTCAGAAAACCACTATAAAATGCATTCAATATAAATGAAATTTGCGTCATTTCAACAAGATAACATTAATGAAAGATAAATTTACCCGCGACTCTATGAAATTAATTGAATTAAAATGAAATTACTTGAGAATAAACGCCGCACCGGACTGAAAACTATTAAGTGGCTGTTTCAGCTTAATATCCAGAGCTTGCTTTTAAACTTCTTTCTTAATAAGTTCAAACTTTTACAAATCTCAAGTAAAACTTGTTAATGTATAAAGCTACAGGATTCAACTTTTACATTGCACCGGTTTCTATTTGAAATATTTATTTATTAAATCTTCTATGATTAGTTTTCATTTTATAAAATATGTATACCTCAATATAAAATGTAACATGGCAAGGGGATTGCTGGTGATGCACAGCTCGTGTAGCGGCCAGTGGTGCGCTAGCTGCGCACACCAAAAGGTCAGCTGCGCACGCGCTTAGTAATTGCGGTGTGCGCAGTCTGGACGCGCCGCCACTTGCCAATGCCGCCATTAGACTTACATTACCTGAAAAAACAACATTAATTTATCGTCTTTGACTTATTCTGAAAATGAGAAGTGTGTTTCGTACGTCTCCTCAGGGTGAATAAATAGTATTTTGGACTTAAAACTATATTGATGACGACAGGACGAAAATTGTGATGAACTCTAACTGAACAATTAATAACGTTCGAAGGTTATAAAATGGTCAAATAATTTTTACTACTAATGTTATATTCCCGTGATTCAAACTAATGGAAAGGCGCACTCATAGTGCAAAAACTATCTATTGTAAAGTGTATTTCATATTCAGAACAGACGGTTAAAGATAAATAGTTATATTTCCTTAAATATATTCCAGTTATTATATAAAAATGCTTTCCTATTATATACCTTACACCAAAACTAAGACCTATTTTTTGTTTGTTACGCCGTCGTTTCCAAGTCACAAATTATATTTAAATTTGTATTTAGCTAGTGCTGCGAAGTCAGTACACGTGACCTTCACCCTTAGAAAAGGAGACTGCCCACCTGTAAAGTTGGACCAATGTATTCTGCCCCACAGCGACCATGTAAGATATCTTGGCTTACACATTGATCGTGGATTAACGTGGAAGCACCATATCAAATGTAAAAAGCAGGAGCTACAGCTAAAGTACAACAGCCTTTACTTGATGCTAGGAAGAAACTCAAGACTTTCTCTAGATAAAAAACTTCTTATATCGTATAAAGTCATCCTAAAGCCCATTTGGACATATGGCCTCCAACTGTAGTGTAAGTGAGTGGTACCAACATAAATATACTCCAGCGACAACAGAACAAGATCCTAAGAGCAGTTGCAAAAGTACCATGGTACATAACCAACCACGAAGTTCACGAACACCTTAAAATGAGAACTATCAAAGAGGAAATTCGGAGACTGGCAGCTAAATACAAAGAGCGGTTAAGCTGTCATCCGAATGAACTTGCTCGCCAACTCACCATTAGACAGTATGTGAGTCGACTAAAACGTCACCATATTCTAGAGCTAGAAGACCGGCAGAAAACGAGTAGATGCTTCCAATGGGAAGTCACTCCACATGACAGCTGATTGCAAATAACCGCAGAAAAAAAAATTGTATTTATCATAAGTATACACTGTAATACGTAAATAAAGTAAATAACCAAAAATAGGTACTGACCAATAATGCCAATGACAGACACTAGCACATAGAGCACGATCAGCACGGCTAAATGGGCCGGCGTCCGATCCGCGTCCGCCCCCTCCGCGCTCCAGTTACCGTACATTGCGATGCATCACTGGAATCTGAAAAATTCATTAGATAAATGTCGAAATTTACCTAATCTTACTTTTTCACATTAAGATTACACTTCCTTAAGGGATCATATTGGTTTTACATTTTTAATAAAAACAGAATTTTAATGTTCGATTACTCGTATAAAAAAATTGCTTCAACTTTGCGTACATTAAATGCAATGTTCTGAAACCACACATTTTATGATAAATCATAAATTATATTATTGCTTTCGACAGAAGTCGAATTTGAAATATCCACTAGGCGTTACATTAAAACAATAATATAAGCAAATTTAACTTCTGATTGCAACCTATTTAAGACAATGGGAAGTTTATTTAAATTAAACTTCACGATATAACCTAAAAAAACAAAATATCAATCAAATAAAAGTGTGTTAACCATTTTTTATAATGTGCATTGAAATCACAGGAGTATTTTTTTCTAAAATTTTACTGTATTTATGACAACAGCCGTTATCAAACGCGAAAAATACAATCACATCGTCTTCTTTATTCTTTAAAATAACCAAAGAATGCTGACTGACTTCTGTTCACTCTATTTACTTATTGTTTTGGTAGCTTGTGCCGTAAATTGTGCGAAATAAGTTTATTAAAACATACTTTCTAGTTGGATTTCGACGTTGGCACCTACTTTATGTATTATCAAATAGTTATTGAACGTTTTGGTCTCAATTAAATAAAAGTGATAATCTAATTTATGATCTATAACGATATTTTGCGTTTAAATTTATGTAACTTATGCCTTATAACACAGTGATTGTTCATTAGAAAAATTAAAAACTTGTCAAAGTTGTAAAATTACAACAAGTTCACGGCACTGCGACGTTGTCGGACCGTGCAAAGATAGTAAATCAATATCGATATTATTTTAATTTGAAAATATTTTTTTTTTAATTTTAGCATATTTTTTTAAATGTTTGCAACATTGTAGTACCAATAGTAACAGTCAGTTTAATTTATTCATATTGTTTCCATTAAATGTAAATACATACTGAGGATACCGCCACTATATAATAGAAGTACATATATATATTGCTATAAAAATCAAAAGATGTCTTCTCAACGTAGTGAAAATGAATCTAAAAGGGTTTTCTAATCGTGAATCCCAAGAGGAAAATCGCAAAGATAACGACGTAACGAATGAATCGCTTTGTCTAGACAACATCGCGCTGCAGTTTTAGTTTTCCCTCGCTTTTCTACATTTTCACACCCGCCAATAACCTTGCGGTAATTTTGCAACGTCTAGTAGCAATTTAATGTTAACTTTATTTTATTTGTAGTGAAGTAAACATTTTAAAGTGTAAAAAGGGTAGATATACTTAGATAATATATATGTAGGTACTAGCTATGTAACGAAATGTTTTTGAGAGTAATATTCAAAAATGGAATCTTTGCGAGTGACGATGTGAGAACAAAGAGTCATCATAGTCATAGTCTTTCTGTTAAAAATTATTCGACCCTCGTCCGTCCAAATTCATAATCGAGATCCGTTTATAGACGGTGCAGCGCCAGTACCTTGTAACTGTTTCAAAAGAGTAGTACTTTCAATTTCCGTGGCGCTGGTGTTGCAACCTCGGCTGCGCGCGATGCAAATACATCACAATAAATTGAAATCGGAATGTCAATTGAAACTTCAGAGTACCCGCAGTAGCGTCTCTAGTGAGACAGAAAACTACCAATGAAACTGTAAATCTCCTCCTCCGGGTTAATTTTAATATGTATTTTTATGTGCTAATTGTTATTGATTATAATAATATGTTTGTTTTTTGTTATACTTATGAATATGATATTTTGTCTACAAAGACTTTATTTACGAAAATGTATCAATCTCTATCCATCTCTTTAAAAGTAATTACTCTCTCGAGTCTTGACTTGACTTGACTCGCACTTGAGAATTACGTAAGCACCTAATCATTAATTATGTATAACGTAGGATACATAAGTAATTAAGACAAAGAATCATGTCTAAAACCGCTTACCATGGTAATGAAGATTCCATTGAATTACAACCATGTGTTTATCTTTCTTATTTCACCATGAGTCACAATGGCATTTATATTTCGTCTGTAAAAGCCTGACCAACGATTTTATTATCTATAGTAAGTCGTAAGTGTATAGTCCTTTTCATGAAAGAAGTCCCCTTAGACGCAGCGCTGTAATCGCGTGACGTAATGTTGCAATTTATGAGTAAAAAATTTACCTATTTTACATATAGCTTATTTAATTTATCAAATAATACTATTATCTGCATACTTCGATAAAACAATATTTCTGCTATGTAAAAAGTATATTTTTATTTACTTATATAAGCGGTGTTCTACCTACTTACAGGGATAAGATGAGAAAATAGGGTAAATAAAAGCATTACAATTCTTTATTCAGAGTTTTATTGAATAATTTTAGATCAGCGGTCATAGGAAAATCACTGTCTGAAGAGTGGATGGAAACAGAATCAGATTCTGTTTCAGTATCACTAGCCGGAGATATAATTGTTCTTTTTTATATTGATACTAATTCGGATGCGGGCGACTCTTCCACGGGGTAACAATTTTTTTCGAAGTACTCGCCGCTGTTATACCTTCTTGTTACAGTTCTCTCTGACACATCTACAATTAAATAATGAACATATAAAATTATAGTAACCATAAGTTTATAATTCTTATGTACTATGTAATATATGTTTTTCAGTTACCTAGTTTCATTCGTTATGTATTTGTTCAATTATGTCGCAAAAATGAATTTATATCATAAATGTCCCATCAATACAGCAAAAAAATATTATGTGGCAACTCTAAAAACTACCTGTTATGGCGGCGACTCTCTTCCGAACATTGTTTAGTGGTATTAAAACACATTGATTCTTTTGCTCCGCTTCACAGAACTCTTTCATCTTCAATATAATTTCTCAAGCCGAACTTTTTACAACATTTGGCATTGTAAACAATCTATAAAATGCACTAAGCTAGTTAAAAACTCACAAAAATCTACCACAACAAACGAACTTTATAACATCGACGTCGACAACATGGCCGACCTGTCAAATTTTGTTCCAAAAATCTCCGCGGGACTTCTTTCATGAAAAGGACTCTAACACAAAGATCATATTTTAGGTTTCGCGCTAAAATAAATGTTTGAATTACTAAACTTAGTCTGAAGTCTATAAACCAATTTAAAAGTGAAAACAATTTTTATTTTACGCATGTCAACAATTTTTCGAGCACAAAAGATATTTGAATTTAGAAAAATTAAAGCGCCATAACTTACCCCAACGCGAAAAGTTTCGCAAAAATTATTTTCTTAAATGCTATTAACGTTTTTATTTTTTCTGAAGTGTCTTTTTATGAAATATTTTACATTGAACTTTTAAGTATGACGTTATGGCAGCTTTATTAAATTTTACGACTTGTAATATAGGCTTCAATTTCGCCATTCTTAGTGCTAAAAGAGAGATTTTAATGTAATAGGAGGCAAACGGGCAGGAGGCTCACCTGATGTTAAGTGATACCGCCGCCCATGGACACTCACACTGCCAGAAGGCTCGCAAGTGCGTTGCCGGCCATTCAAATGTTTTGATTTTGTCTTTTTATTCCATTAGGTGCCTACATAACTCTATTCAGGCATACATTGTAATCGTAAATACTAAAATCATGTATTATAACTTTCTATATTTTCTCAGTCTCGTTTCAGTTTTGTATTTCTCTTGTACTCGTTGCTTTGTAATGTAGTGAAAGGTTAAGGTTTTATGTTAAAAATAGTAAATACTTTTGTGCGAAAAATAAGATACGGATAACGGGATGAAAATTTTTCTATAACGCTTTTGTCGTTCCTATACAAAAAATAGTTTATTACTCACTTTACACGACACGAATCTACACATGAAATTCAAACCTACTTTTCATGTGACCTTCATCAAAAAAGGGAATTAATATGTTTTCGAATCACGTACGTCTTAGAACGCCTCCTTAATGCAAATAAGTATATAAATAAGCGAGTGAATATATTAACGAAGAAGGTTTTAAGATGGATTGGGCCTAGCCCTGACACTTGCAAATAATGTGATCATTACCATATTGTACCTTTTACATCGGTTCGTTTTGGAAGAAAAATTTCCAACTATATTGCACCTGTGCCACCATTGGAAATACCAATTAAAAGATATTCGCGGTATTTCTTACGAATAATGCTTGCCTTGTACCTTTTGAATTATTTTTCGTTATGGTTTTATAGATAGGTCGTATACGGGAAAAAAATCGGTTGTCTGTATAGTCGGTTTACTGACGATAGTTGAACGTGACAACGTCACGAATCGCTCACTCAAGTAGGAGAGAGACAGATGTCGAACGCTGAAGAGCGCGGAGTCCGATTGTGCCTCTCTGTCGCTTCGCGCTCTCGCTTGCACTTCAAGCCTAAAATGGAACGCCTCAGAGCGAGGTAACGCCGCATGAGTCATGTTTTTTCGTGCGTGCAGCCGGCTCCATCGAATTATAAGACGTTGGCACGTCAAAAAATCCTGAGTCTGGGTCTGAATACACGGCCTCAGAGCCAATACGCAAACACAAAATACATAATATACACGTTTGTCTAAATGCATAACAATAGTGAAGTATCGTGAAGTGCGCTCAAAGCTGCTTTGAGTAATGGAATCTCTAGTGTTCCCTTTCAAAAGAGTTTAAAATGTAATTTTATAAAGGCTTTCAGCTCTAGTTTAATTAATATTCTGATGAGTTTATTAAAACAATTATAATTAAATTGCAAAGTTTATAGTAGAAATTTGCGTTTTTAGTTTAAAATTATTTTTTTCGAGCTAAGAAAAGGATAATTGAAATAGAAACAGTGTACCTCATGGCAAAGTACTCGCAGTCTTTCTTTTAATGAATCCCGATTTCTACTTTTTACATATTAAACCAACATGGCCAACAATATATGAGTTACAGTCTAAAGATTTCAACCTAAAATTTTATTTAATCCA